ATTGTGTAAATCTAACTTTTCCCCCAGAGCTACGGAGAGAGATCTTAAAACTGTGTTCAAACACAACTCTGTTCACTTTGTTAGAGCTCTGCTGGTTTACAGGAGTGTGTTCTAGCAGTTTCCTTTATTTACTTTATCCACTGCAAGGTAGAACTGTGGTGTTGTACACAGGTTGTTGGATAAACATGCAGTTGGACCATTGTATGTGTGCACAGACTGCTGTGAAATGCAGGATTCCCAGTACAGAGCTGCAAAGTCCTGCTGAAAAGAACCAAAACAGCTTTTCCTGAGGTTTCTGGGAAGGTGTTAATGTGTAAATGTGGCAGCTTATCCCATACAGTGGAGAGGTTTTGCTGCATATAACCAAAATACAGCTGGCTTGTAGGTCAGTACCACTCAGTCCTCACTGCACTTCCACCATCTCCCAGTTCTTGGCTGGAAAAAAGGAGAAAGAAGGGAAAGCTTTTGTGCAATATGATTGTCTCTGAAGCCAGCAGCAAAAACGATCAGATCTCTTGGGAATTCTGAAGATGCACCTACTTTTTCTTCTTTAAAAGTGCCCCCTAATCCTGACTCTTTGACCCATTAGTCCCTTCTGATAGGACAGCAATCCAACAAAGCTGCTCAATTCCAGCCTGTTTGGAGCCAACCCCCAAGGCTCCCCAAACCCTCCCAGCTCTAGGACAAACTGTAACTACACACAACACCCTGAGTGACAGCCACAAAACCTCCCCATGGCTCCAGAGCTCCGCATGGCTCTGCACCCAGCTCTCCTTTGAACTCTGCACCCAGCTGTTGAATTTCCATGTTTCTCTAAAAGCTTTGCCTGACTCCTCTACACGAGTATTTTTGGATAGAAAGCCCAAATCTGGTAGGATCAGATTTAGCATTTTAGATTACATTGACGTCCCTACCTACAAGTACAGTTTGTGATAGTTCAAGACAGGATTGAGGTAGGGAGGGTTGCCGTGTTTTCCTACAATAAAGGACAAAAATGGGCCAGCCTTTAGGCTGGGTAGCTTTTTTAGATCAGCAGGAGCTCAGGAGCCAGCTGGGGTTGGTTTTAGTTCCCTTTTTAGCTCACGGATTATCAAATGCTCTTGGATCTCTCTGATAAGCAAAACCACGTGTAACCTACCCAGATATAATTATGTCTGACAATAAAAAAAAAAAACCTACACCTTAATTTTACATGCACTGGCTTAGAAGTAGTTTGAAAAGTTGGATGTGCACAAGGTTTGGCTCACTGCTGTTTGTGATGGGTTGTAGCTTTCCTCACACCCTCAGGGCTTGCTTGTATTACAAGCTCAAACAAGATTTGGAAATGAACAGTAGGGAAGTAACTTGTGCAACTTTGGTTTCCTGGATTAGAATATAATTTCAAAATTCATACTGTAGTCTGGGCACAGTTTCACATTCAGAACTGCACTTTCCAGTTGTGTTTTTTTAACAGGATGAGACAACAAAGCTTTTTTTACTGTCAATATTTTTTTAAAACCTTTCTCTGGAATGACACTGAAATTGGTGCATGTGGTCCTGGGGGGGCTTCTGCAGTAGGTGAATGGTTGTCAAAACTGGTATTTGTTTCTTGATTTATTTTAGCTGGTTTTTGGACCAATGACAAAGCCATCTTAGCTGGAGTCAGCTTTGCTCCAGTCTTCAGAGTACAGCTCTTGGTGATGACGTGTTCCCTGGTGCCCACAGATTCTCTGCTGCTAGTGAGTCACCACCATCTCCCTTTCTTTGAGCACTCAAAACGTTGTTTTTTGAGAAAAAAACAATATGAGCCTTATTTAAATTACCCTAAAGCTGCTGGTACTTGGGTTTTTCCCTGCAGTCCGTGACAGTAGTTTGGAAGGTGTAGTTACACTGTGGGTGCAATCACAGCTTGCTGAACTCTGCACAAGTTTGCCTCTCTGTTGAAAGAGCTGTGTGAGATGTGTCTTAGCAGGAAAGTGCTCATGGTCAGGATGAAACTTAGAGATATGGATGTTAATTAGGATAATCCCACATCTTACTTGCAACTCTTGTAGTGGCTGCACAGCCCAGTGAAGTTGCACACCCAGAGAGGATTATTCTTACTTTGTACAATTGGCTGAAGCTCCACTTCAGATTCAACATTTATTGTGAATAAAACATCTGCAGTGTTGATTTCTGAAAAGGGCATGAGGTGCCTTATCCCAGTTATATCTCCCTCCAGCTACTTCAAATGAGGAGCTGCCACTTGAACCACAAGTGCAAAAAACACATTCTAAGAATTACCACATTTCAAGGTTGCCTGATTATGTTTGTTTTGAAGAGCTGCATTTGGGCACCTCACCTCAGATGAGCTCATGTTCATATGACTAAGTATCCCCTGGAATCCCATGAAACAGGAGAATTTTGAAGATAATCCATGTGGATCTTAGAGCACATAGAAAAACTGGCTGCAGAACAAGAAAAACAGTCTCATTTTATTTGCAGAGGCTTTATCTGAGGGTCTGTTGGCTTTTACCACGTTCCTTTGCTGCCTTTCTGCTTCCCATGCACACACAGGAAAAGCGTGCCATGGATGTACCATTCATCCCATCTGCCTCAGAGGAGGAGAGCCTGTGAGTTGTTCCAGGTAGTGATTTAGCTCACAGCAGTGATTTTTAAATGTTACTGTATGCAAAGCATGTTGCTGGCAAAAGTGCTGGTGGGGGAAGGAGGGAAAGCAAGGGGGCATTCACATCTTCCTCTCCCAAATCCTAAACACTTGCAGTGTACCTGTCCTGAACCCCCTGGAAGGAGGTTTTTCTTATATATATGTACAAGAATATATGTATATATATATATAAGAATATATGTATATATGTCTGAGATTTCATGCTTAGGGTTACATGCAGCTCAGCCCAGCACATGTTATCGTATCTGCAAAGAACTTTTGCTCCAGCAGGGACTCCCCAAAACCTTGGTCAAGCTGGACCACACACAGAAAATCAAAACTGCCAAAAGGTCAGTGTTTGTGTTACATAAAGAATTTATAGCCTGAGGAAGAGGAAAATAGTGACTGCACAGACTGAGCAGGTAGAGAGGAGGTTAAGGCAGCTGTCACCTCATCAGTGAACACATTTTTTGAGAAAAGCAGAGGTTGCAGATCATCTCCATCTGAAAATACTGAGAGAATTACATATGGAATTACAAGTGTGGTCTGAGGATTCATGGGTGATGTCTGAATCCTGGGATCTGGGCAGGAGAGTGGCAAATGTGGGGACTGTGCTCACAAACTGTGAGAGAAGTCGGCAGAGGCAGCACAGCTCCAGGTGTGATCCCAGCCACAGGGAAAGCTGTAGAACAACTTCTGAGGGAGAAAAACCTGATGAACCAAGGGGAAAGTGTCAGAAATCACACCGGGGGGTTGTCAGGAGAACATTCTGCCAGAGAAGTCCTTCTGTTGATGGCAGAACTGATTTCCTCAGCAGAGCCAGTAGAGCAGAGTTAATTAACTGGAGCCATAACTCAAAGCAATGAGGGCATTCCTGCAGGAATTCTGTGGAGCAGGCTGGGGCAGCAGGGCATCTTTTGGGGGTTGTTTTTTTGCACATTAAATGCCGTATTCTCAGGGTGTTGGAGGGGACTCTCCTTTTTTTCCCACTGGTTGTCTGGAATCTGATCCTCCCATGGACATTCCATAGGAACAAGTAAATGTACATATTTACTCACTGTAGGTGTGTCTTTGTGCATTCACATATACACATTCAAGTGTCCAAATGAATAAGGAATAGTAAACAGGTGCTTATTATTACTCATTCATTTGACTGCTTGAATATGTATGTGTGTGTATATATATAAATCATAGAAGGGTTTGGGTGGGAAGGGACCTTAAAGCTCATCTTGTTCCACCCCCTGCCATGGGCAGGGACACCTTCCACTAGCCCAGGTTGCTCCAAGCCCCGTCCAACCTGGCCTTGGGCACTTCCAGGGCTGGGGCAGCCACAGCTTCTCTGGGCAACCTGTGCCAGGGCCTGCCCACCCTCACAGGGAAGATTTTTTTTCCTACTATCCCACCTAAACCTACTGTCTTTCAATTTGAGCCCCTCCTGTCCCCACAGCAGCCCAGACCCACCTGGTGTTTGGGGTCCTGGAGGTGTTTGGGGTCCCAGCAGTGTTTGGGGTCCCAGCAGTGTTTGGGGCCCCAGCAGTGTTTATTTGGGGTCCTAGCAGCGTTTCTTTGGGATCTCTGGGCTCAGGAGTGTTGGTTTGAGGTCTCTGAGCTTGGCACTGTGTATTTGGGGTCTCTGGGGTCCGTGTTTATTTGGGGTCCCAGCAGTGTTTGTTTAGTGTCTCTGCTGTTGGTGTTTTTTGGGATAGCAGTGTTTATTTGGGATCACAGCGGTGTTTTTGGGATCACCACAGTGTTTATTTGGGATCACAGCAGTGTTTCTGTGATCGCAGTGGTGGTTTTAGGATCACAGCCGTGTTTTTGGGATCTCAGCCGTATTTTTGGGATCCAAGCCGTGTTTATTTGGGATCACAGCGGTGGTTTTTTGGGATCCCAGCTGTATTTTTGGGATTCCAGTGGTGTTTTTAGGATTCCAGAAGTGTTTTTTTAGGATCCCAGCCGTGGTCTTTTGGGATCCCAAGGGTGTTTTTTTGGGACCCCAGCCGTGTTTTTGGGATCCTAGCCATATTTTTGGGATCACAGCCGTGTTTTTGGGATCCCAGTGGTGTTTTTTTTGGGATCCCAAGTGTATTTTTTTGGGATCCCAGCGGTGTTTTTTTGGGATCCCAAGGGTGGTTTTTTTGGGATCCCAGCCGTGTTTTTGGGATCTCAGGTGGTGTTTTTTTGGGATCCCAGCCGTGTTTTTAGGATCTCAGTGGTGTTTTTTTGGTATCCCAGCCGTGTTTTCAGGACCCCACCCGTGTTCGTTCCCGGAGTGTCCCGTTGCCCTCAGGTCGGGCCGGCAGGGGGCGCAGCGGGCAGGCTGCTCAGCCGATGGCCGATGCGGGGGGCGGGCAGGCGGCGCAGCCGCGCGCCGATGTGCGCGGGGGCCATGGCGCTGTGGCGGGGGCTGCGCTGCTGCCGCCGCGCCCTCGCCTGGCTGCCCGTGCTGCTCATCGCGCTGCTGCTGCTCTGGTCCTACTACGGATACGTCTGCGAGCTCTGCCTCGGTGAGCGCCCGCCGCGGGGAGAGGGGCCCGCCCGCCCCGGGCCCGCCCCAGGCCGGAGGGTCCCCGCGGGCTGCGCCGGGCCGGGGCTGCGGGCGATCCCCCCCTCCTCCTCCTCATCCCCTCATCCTCCTCATCCTCCCCCTCCTCATCTTCCCCCTTCTCCTCCCCATCTTCCTTATCATCATGCTCCTGTTCCCCCTTCTTCTCTTTTTCTTCTTCCCCCTTCTCCTCCTCCTCATCATTCTTCTCCTTCTTTCTCTTCCTCCCCCTTCTCCTCATCCTTCTCCCTCTTCTTCTCCTCCCCTTCCTCCTCTCCTTCTCCTCATTATCCTCCTCCTTCTCCTCTTCCTCCTCTTCTCCTCCTCCTCTTTCTCCTCATCCTTCTCCTCCCCCTCGTCGCTTCTCGCCGGTGTGTCAGGGTCTTCCGTGGGTGTCCAGGTGTTCCCGGTGTGTCCAGGTGTTCCCGGTGTATCCGGGTGTTCCCGGTGTGTCCGGGTGTTCCCGGTGTGTCCGGGTGTTCCCGGTGTGTCCGGGTGTTCCCAGTGTCCGGTCCCGGCGGGGACACCCCCGGGCAGACCGGGAGCACAGGGATAACGCTTCATTCCCAGCCGGATCCATTCCGGGACGAGTTCCTGGGGTTCAGGCTCAGCCCCTGTTTTGTGTCCGTGCCAGGGAGGTGCCGATGGTCAGGGCTGGGACAGTGACCCCACAGTTGTTGCCGTGTGACAACGTTCCGATGTGATTTATGACCTAAAACTAACAAAAATCAGTCTGTGCTCTGCCTTTATATATATATATATAATATGTATATATAAACTCTTTTTTAATATATATATTCTGCAAAGGGAAGAAAAAAGTCACATGAACTCACACTGAAGTTGCTACAGTAGCACGGAAACACTACATTTTAGAAAGGAGAGTTTTTTGTACTGGCTAGAATTGTATATTTAATGTAGCGATTTAATTGGATAATAAGTTGCAAATTTCTTGGGCGCATGCAAAAAAACCTGTTAGAGAAAGGATTGTTAGGTCTGGGGAAGAGGAGAGGTGGGAGCTTGGACTTGTGAAGTTGTGAGGAGGAACGTGAGGCTCTTTCTCCTCGGGACAGGGCAAAGGCAGCCTAAGGTCCCAGAAGGGTGGTTTGGGATGTTCCCGGGACAGGAGCTGCCTCCTGGTGCTGCACAGCACATGGAAACCAGGTTTTTGGTAGGGTTGACAGTGTTTTTTCTCAACGGGCACTAAATTGAAATGCAGTTTCTTTGATCTGTTATAATTGTCAGCTTGGCAAAGCCCCCAAAACTTCATTGCTCTCATCCCCTCTCTGGGATCGTGGGCAGTTTCTTTCAAGAATTCACACAGAACAAAATCTCCGAGGTGCAAGGAACTGTCATTACAACATGTGACTAAAAATTAGAGTGTTTTGTTGAGCTGTGCTTTGTTTGCAGTGCTGTACAGGTTCAGTAAAGTTGAACACTGGCTCGTTGCAGGTCCCAGTGCAGCTTTCAGAAGAGACTCAGGTGATTTCACTGGGGTGTGGATTGGGACAGCTCTGCAAGTGCTGGTTCAGCTGCCAGGAGCTCAGCTCACTGCCTGGAATTACAGCTGAAAATCATTCATTTGCCCACACCCGCCTATTTTTTCGCCCCATCTTTCTCTCCCCTCTCTTCCATTTGCATGTGGAGGAGGTTTTATCTGCACGGGAGTTGGAACGACTAAATTGTTTCAGGATTTGAGCGTTGACTGTTGGCACGTGCTGGTACTTGCAAAGCAGCTCTCAGGACGTTCTCCAGGTTTCTAACACAGCAAGGCTTTCCGTGCTGGCTGCTTCTCAGCTGTAGTGAGCATGCAGATAGCAGATGCTTTGTTTGGATTCTCGGTTCTCACCCTCAGCTGTGCTCAGGACTGGGAGTGGTGTGGGAGGATGTCCTGGAGCCCTCTCATGATCCTGGGTTTAAAGTCTCACTGAGTGGTGTGGCCAGTGAGTCACAGTCCCGAGGAGCCCCTGATTTCTTGTCTGGTTGGTGGTTGCTGCCACAGAGAGAACAATGACCCTGCAATAAACCCTCTTGCACAACCTTTATTTATGCTCTTCTCTCAAGTAAAACCCTTAGCAAGGCCCTGCTGCGAAGTGTGACACATTCAGGAGGGAGCCAAGCATTTGTGAAAAGCTAATGTCTTCATAGCTTGGTTGGCAGCAAACCAAAGCTAAAAATAAAGGTTTCCTCCCAGTCTTGCTCACCTGAACTTGAGTGTGCAGAGACACAGCCAATATTCAGTCTCTTTTTTCACCCACGTTGCTGTGTGTCACAGAACTTTGTGCTCCAAGCAAAAATCACAGAACCACTGTGCTTTCAGTTAAAGAAAGGTGTCTTTGTCTCTCCTGTGAAACTTGGGCGGTGGCTTTTAAAATAATGGATGGATTTCAAAGTAATCAGCACAAGTGGGCATTGATGGACCCTTTGCTGGTGGGTCAAGGTGGTTCTGTTGGTGTAGGGCTTGTTCTGTCATTATGGTGAAGTAAGGAGGGGTTGTAAAATCTCTGCTTGTAGGAAGTGTAAAAATAGAGGAGTCACTGCAATTCCTGACTAGGCCAAAGCTGAGAAATGTATAATTTTTTATTCATGCTGATGCAGAAATGCTTTGGACAGTGCTTATGGGGGAGGGTCAAGATCAGCAAAAGCCTGGTAGAAAGCAGCTGCAGGTGTGTGGTACATGCACAGAGATGCTGCTTGGACAGTTGCTGTAGGAGCCCTGGTAATCTTGTCACATCACTGTCACCAGAGGATTGGCTTTGTCATTTCTGATGTACAAATATGCAGAATGTATTTTATAAATGGGAGAACACAGCAGAAGTAGCAGTTACTGAACATCTTGTTGTGGGGGTGTGTGTGAGTGAAGAAGAGTTGTTACTCTGGATTTGATGCTGGACTGTGGGCTCTCTTTCTGCCTCTTGAATGTGAACATTTTCTCCTAAAACTGCTGTATTTCACAGAGGAATGTCATTTGTAACAAACTTCTCTGGGATTCCTATTTGCTCTGTAGGCATATGTTTTTTTTTTCCTTTTTCAGTGACTGTGAGCAACCCTGTGGAGAAAGGTACGTGTGTTCAATTGACCATTTGACACTCAGTCCTGGTGTGAAAGGGTTCCCAAATGTTCCAGCTGAAATATCAAAAATATTTGCTGTCAATCTTTTAAATGTACATCCTCTTTCAGCGTTTCCTTCCCCGTAATTACACTCCAGGGGTGCACAGCAAGCCTTGTTAGACAGGCTGGAACTTTTGGATGCATTGGGAAGTGCCCTGGATCAAGTCAATTCTCTTTCCACTGCTGAGCAGTCCTAATATTTGAAAGTGCTGCAGAGAAAAGGGTATTAATGATTATTCAGCAGAAAAAGTCAGCAGTTGCCCAGTCCATTAGTGCATCTCTGGGTCAGCTTCCTCTAACGTGCTGCTTGATCAACAAAATTAAACCTGTTGCAAGATTTATCTGCTTTCATAGTAATTAAAAAGTGGCTGAGCTCCACCTGCACGTAGTATCGAGGAGAACATCTCAAACAATCTGGGAGCATGAGAATGACTTATCTTTGATTCACATCCTTGTGAGGTGTATCCCACCATTTGCCATCTCATTAGAGTCTCAGCAATGCATGTGGCCTTTTTTACCAGTTTTCACACAGGAAAGGGAATGTTTTCACACAGCTAGGAAGTGTCTGGATTTTAGACTTCTCTTCCCACTTGTAGCATTTACTTTAATCTTGCTTTCTAGAATTTGAAGCTTAAAAGAAAAGAGGGAAAGGAGGTTTTAATTGCAATTAAAAGGTGTGTTCAAATAAAACTGTATTGTAACTGTTTGATAATGTCTTACTGAGGTGAGTGTTAAATAACAACTAGTTTGTGTAGCTCTTTGGCTCCCTGATCATGGAATGCCTGCTTATTCCCAAAGGCTCTGGAATAAAGTTGGCATGTTGAAATAGGACTGCTCTGACAGGTGCTGGTTTCACATGGTGATGTTGGATCCAGTGCATTACAATTCTCCAGCACTCCCAGGACCTGTCTGGCTCACTTGGAGAGAAGTTTTCCTGGTTTATTGTATAAACTGTGGCAAATGTGAAAGAGCTTTGTTTTCTGGTGACGTGAAGCTGGCATTTGCAGGAATATGGGGTGGGCACCTGCCCTGGAGAGGGGGAAGTCTCTCAGAGCTGTATCTTCCTCCCCCATGGGATGGATGGGGTGGAGGAGGAGAGGCTTGTGAGTTCAGTCCCCCCTGGGTGCAGCCCCTGAGCTCTGGAATGCTGCTGGGAGGTTTGACTGGACTGTAAGAATGGGGAATTATGCCCTTCCTAAATGAAACTTTTGCTTAAGAAGTCATTGCTCTCTTTCTGTTCTTTTTTTTTTTTTCTTTCTGTTTTGTTTTTAGTGGCCTATCTCGTAATATTCCATATTCTCTTTGTGCTCTTTGTGTGGACATACTGGAAGTCTGTTTTCACTCTCCCAGTGCAGCCAGACAAAAAGGTAAGAGCCCCAGCAGCTTCCATTCCTTGCAGAGCAGATGCAGGGACACTGAAGAGAACTCAAAAATCCTTCGGTCAAGTTGATCTGGACAGGACAGTCAGATGCAGACATGTGTTTTAATGCTTTTTTCCACCAAATATTTACTTTGTCACGCTTGGATTGGTAGATTTATTTTTTTTTCCGTTTTGTTTTACCTCTCTGTGAAATACAAACACAACACCATGTTTGGAGCAACAGAATGAGGACGATGTTTGTGTGGCACTCCAAAATATACACGGCCTTAATCTGATCCTGATTACAACAATGTAAATTTATAAATAACAACTAATCCCAGTTTTAGAAATATAAAACTGTGAGTGGGGACAGGTTTTTGCTCACAGGGGAAGTGCTTCAAGTGTTATCAAGGTGAGTAATGTTATTCCTGAAAAATAGTCATCTAAGGCAGCCATAGGAGCAACTCGTGTAAGTTGTTTTCTAAACTTTAAATTTCACATTTGCGTTTCTTATGGGTGTATCACGCCGGGTTCTGGCTGCCCAGCACTCACAATCTTCTTTGTCTTCTTAACAAACACACTTTGACACTCCATTAACCTCGTGAGGGGGAGGTGAGAATGTTCCTAGACCTGCCTGTATTTGAAAGGTTCTCTCTGCTGCCCCGGGGTAACCGCTCCTCTCGTGGCTTCTGCCCCCAGTTCCACATGTCCTACGCTGACCAGGAGCGCTACGAGAACGAGGAGAGGCCGGAGGTGCAGAGGCAGATCCTGGCCGAGATCGCCAGGAAGCTGCCGGTGTACACGAGGACCGGGAACGGAGGTGAGCCCAGCGGGGAGCCCGGCAGTCTGAGGGAACAAACACGGTCAAGTAGCACACACACTGGCACTCCAGAGGATCCTGCCAACCAACAGCGTTCCCACTGCCACTGCAGCACCCTCTGATTCCTGAGGGAATGATTTTCACGCCTTTTCTTTCAGGTTTCCTCTTTGGGAAAGCAAAAAAGTCTTGAACATTCCTTCATTCCACGGAGGACCAGGTGCTGCCTTTGAGAAGCAATATTTGGATTTCTGTTCAAAAGCCCACTTATGTTGCCTGTGTTTAGCATTAGCAGTAGAATCCCAAGATCTGTCATCATATTTACTTAAAATGGAGTCTGCCTTAGAAATGCAGGACATAATTCTGTGACCACATTTCTTGGCCATGCTCAGTGATTAAATGCCTCTGGACTCCTTTCACAGCTTAAAGAAGTCTGTGTTCATATTGGAGGCTCTGACCTGCTCGTTTCTGCCAGGCAAGCCAAAGAATTCTGAAGTAAAGAACTGGAATAAATAGGGAATTACCAAAATGGAATGTATGTACAGTCTGAGTAAATGGGGAAGCCAGAAGGCAGTGTACAGTTTTGGTGTATCACTTTGGAGCTGGCTGTATGGTTTAGAGTAGGTTGAGGTTAGAAGTTGGGGAGAAATTCCTGGCTGGGAGGGTGGGCAGGCCCTGGCACACGGTTGCCCAGAGAAGCTGTGGCTGCCCCAGCCCTGGAAGTGTCCAAGGCCAGGTTGGACGGGGCTTGGAGCAGGGGATGGAATGAAATGATCTTTAAGTCCCTTTCAAGTCAAAGCATTCTGTGATTCTCTGATTTGAGTGAGGATTGCTCCCCCCATCTGCAGGTCTCCTGCAGAATTAGGAGCGTTGCTAATCCAGCTGCAACCTGGCAGCAAAAACCAGCAGCAGAGGTACTCATCTGCTGAAGTGACAGAGGACAGAGTATGAACAGTTAGGAAATGAGCACAAATATCCACTATCATGTGAAGAAAAAAGAAGAGTCTTCCATCATTTGGTGTCAATTTGTCTTTAACCTCAGGTATTCGGTTCTGTGACAGATGCCAGCTGATCAAACCTGATCGTTGTCACCACTGCTCCGTCTGTGCCATGTAAGTCAGGGCTGTGTCTCTGAGGTGAACACAATCAATCACCACGGGGTTCTGGGAACAGGCTGGGCCTTCCCATGGCTCTTTACACATCAGGGTACCCAGGGGGTTCTGCTCCAGCTGCAGCCACCAGTGCTCCGGTGAGAAAACATCATCACATCTCCTCTAGACGAGAACAAAGGACATTGGTTGGCCTTGAAAAAGTAGTGAGAGATTCATCTTAAAACAATACTACCTTAAAAAACAGCATAATTTTGACTTTCTGTCACATAGAAATCTCCCAAAAACCAGAGGTTTTGCTGTTGATCTGCAGTTGGCAATTAAGTACCAATTAAAAATCTTCCCTTTTTTTGTGTGTCCTTTTGCAGGTGTGTGCTAAAAATGGATCATCATTGTCCGTGGTACGTCCTACATACTGGTTTGTGGCTTTCTGAGAAGAAAGGTTGCTTATATTTATATATATTTCTGCCACATATTTCTGTATGCCTCTCTCATTTTACACCATCCATCTCTTTATGTTGGGAAATTTATAAGATAATTACACTTTGAAATTGCCTGAAATGTTTGATATTTTGAAAGACAGATTATTCATGTTTGTTCCATAAACTATGTGTGAAAAAGCTGTGATATTGATATCATTTAAACCCCAACTGCTAATTTACTCTTTGAGTATTCTTCAGATTTGAAAGGGCCTTAACCTTAGCCTTTATTTTGGGGTCTGTCATCATTTCAGCTGCACTTGGGGGTGCTTTCAAGAGTAACATTTGCATGTGGATTGTTTCTGAACTGATGCCTGGTCAGAGACCATCAGTGCACAAAGCTGCATGGATGAATTGAGCTTTACACTTCTTGAGAATTGCTACCACTAAATTTATTAAACTCCTCCTTTTTTTTTTTTTTAAAAAAAAAAAAAGGAAGATTTCAGAAATCAGAAACAACACAAACATTTCCCCACCTGAACCTCCCTGGTAATCAAAATTGGAGAGGATTTTGCAAACCTGAGCTCTGAGATAAACACCCCCTCTGTTTTCCTGCATCCCCTGGATCCTTTTTAGAGTTGTCCTGTGCATGGAGAATCAGCCCCAACTTTGGGTGAGCTGGCTTGGATGTTCCTGTGGCTCCTGAGGTTTGCACGTGGCCCAAGGAGCACAGAACTCCCAGATGCCGCTGCCTTGGCAGACAAGACCCAGCCATGAGGAATGAGCTGCTGCCTCTGGGACACTTCCCCGTGGTACCAACCCTGAAACATGAACTGAGCTTGGCCCTGGCCCAGCAAGAAGCCTTGGGGTGAAAAGCAGAGCCTTGAGTTCTGTTCCATTTTGGCCACTAAGGGGAGCTGCTTATTGACAAGTTGTGTTGTGGGAGCCAGAGGTTTAATAGCCCCCCAAAACTGGTCGTGCTCTTTGTGTTACAACCCGTGTGCTGCACAAATCCTGATTTCAACTTTGCTTTTGTCCTCTAGGGTGAATAACTGCATTGGATTTTCTAACTACAAATTCTTTCTACTGTTCTTAGCCTATTCTTTGTTGTATTGCTTGTATATTGCTGCAACAGTCTTCAAGTATTTCATTAAGTATTGGACAGTAAGTTGTGAAATCTGGTTCCTTTTTCATCTCCTGTGAGTCTCGTGGGGTTTAGTCACTCTTGTTGCTTTTTTGCTCTCAGTCGAGTGTCTGAGTGGAGGGGCTGCATTTCTCCTGTGAGGTACTTTCCTGGGCCCTTTTTGAGTCCAAAACTCCCATTATATGTCTAAAATGCACAAAAGCAAGAAGCAAGTAGGAATTCCAAACTGTGGACTAGCTTCTGGGAAAGAGGCTATATCCTTTCCCTTTGTGTTTGCATGTGTATCTATCAGAACATTTGGAGCTGATACTGATATTTAACATCCTGATATTGATCTGGACATATTTACTGAAAAGAGGAAAAATAAGTCAAAACTTCTTGCTCATTTTCCAATCCCCATAGGACTCCTTTCTCAGTTTAAAACTGGACTGAAGTAGCCTTTTTATTCAGTTACTGATGGTCACTCATATGCAGCAGTGCCACTGACAGCTGCAGTAAGAGGCTGGCCCTTGGCCTCTGTGTCCCTGTGTTCAAGTCCCTCAACTTTGCTGGGCATTAATTGTTCCTCACGCTCAGCACAGCCCAGCTGTGAGCCCTGTGCTGCTCCCATGGGATGAGCAAAGGCTGGGAAGTGCCTTTGTTCCCTGGAGGTGCCCAGAGCCTGCCTGTGTGTGCTGCTGGGCACCTCTGCTGTAGAGGAAAACGGGTGTCTCCACCTCTTGGAAGGTCCCACTTGGCTTTCAAGCTTCCCCAGGCCCTCTCTGCTCAGTTCTAGCCCCCCCAGCAGCTGCAGCAGTGCAGACCAGGTTCTCTGGGCTTGCCTCCCCTTGCAGGAGGTGCAGAACTGTAATGTGTGCACAGGAAACTCAGCAGAACATAAACAGGGCTTGGAGAGCTCCTGCCTGCTCGTTCCCCCGAGGGCACAGGGTGTGCTCCTGGTGCCCAGGTGGGATTGCAGTGCCTCTGCTGCACACCAAGAGCTGTGCTGTGGGTACAGGAGGGGAAATGAACCACATCATTTCTTTGTCTCTCCTCGGTTTTTATGCTAAGGTTGACTTTTGCCTGTACAAGTTCGAGAACTCCCAAGAGGAGTTTTAGAACTTTCTGAGAACAGAGAACTCCCAGCTTGAATATGTTCCTATCACTTGTTCTGTGTTGCTTTTCTTGCCAGGGTGAACTGACCAATGGCCGTTCCAAATTTCACATCCTTTTCCTCCTCTTCGTGGCAATCATGTTCTTTGTGAGCCTCATGTTTCTGTTTGGGTACCACTGCTGGCTCGTCAGCAGAAACAGATCCACCTTAGGTAAAGCTCTTCTGCCTCTCTTCTTTTAGTAAGACACACCAAAGGTGCTGTGAGAACTAAAAAAGAAAGTGGGGAAAAAAAAAAAGGCATTTGTTCTATTTCTGTGCTGCCTTATGAGGGAAGGAAGGTTTAAGATCTTGGCACAGCACTGCAAAAATGTGTCATTTGAGATTAGCTGCATTTATTAGGTGGTGTGACAAAAGCACACAGGGAAACAAAGAGTCTTAGTGTGTAAAAGTCCATTTATAAAAATATTATGCATGTGTATAACTATATGTTTGAAATGAGTGCAGCTTTCCAGGAATAATGGCTTGTTATGTTCAGGTGCTGATGTGCATCCTAAACCAGCTTAGTGAGGGTGGGAAACAGTGTCCACCCTCAAAGTTATGACTGTAAACCCAAAGAAATTATCTAAACCAGAATGATTTTGCTGAGTAGTTTCTTTGTCTTTCCTCAGATAAATGTTGTTCAATTTTTAAAGCTTTTTGGATAAAGTTTTATAACAAACCAGACACTATCAAAGTGAGCAAATATTCTGGTTTTGTCTAGTTATTAACTTTAAAGCTCATTTCATGGGGCACAGAAGCTCATCTGTCCCAATGCATCAGAAGGGAGATCAAATTGTTTCTAAGGCACTCCAGGTTCTCCTCCCCTCTCTTTCCTTAGTTTTATGCCTCACCATAACAGAGGGTCTATTTGCATTTGTTTGTTCATTATATCATTAGTGAATGAGGCAATTTAAATCTCACTCCAGGAATACTCATTGAAGGCCAACCTACTTCATTCTGCAGATTTTTTTTTACTTAGAAATTTTCACCCTCTGAATTTCTACAAGTCTCACAGAAAGAACTTTTAACTCTCGTTCTCTAGATTAAAGAAACCATTTTTGGTTTCATTTGACTGTTCTGTAGTTGCACAGCCAAATTCCTGCCTTTGGTTGGAAAGCCTTTACAAGCTTTGCAAAATGAGAAAAAGTTTTCAGTTATTCCTGAACCTGTATAATCCATGAAATCACGTTGACTTTAGATGGCCCCATCATGCACAATCCTGTTTCAGAGAGTTTGGCATTGATTTTCATTTTTTTTTTTCACTGAAATTTTCACACATCTGTGTGCAGAGGCTTTCTCAGCTCCGGTGTTTCAAAATGGCCCAGATAAAAATGGATTCAATCTTGGCTTTGTAAAGAATCTTCAGCAAGTGTTTGGGGAAGAAAAAAAGCTCTGGTTGCTGCCTATTGCCTCAAGGTAAGTAATAATCAAGTCAATGCTAAAAGCTGATACAATTTTGTGTATAGGTTTAGGTCACAGGAAAGTGGGGGTTTTTATGTGTCTTTCAGTAACATCTGACTAAGATTGAGGCCATTTGCTCTTGGGTGTCATTCAAACACACGTGTGTGATTTCTGCCCTGAAGAATCTGTGGTATCAATTGATAAAATTGACACCTATGGAATAATTGGTCCTTTTTGGTAATTGTTTTCCTTAGTCCCCCCTCACTTCTACCTGTCCACAAGTTCATTTTTTCTGTTTGTTTGGGTTTTTTCCTGTATCCAAATGACTTGATCAAGTTAGCACATTGAAGTTCTGCTAAAAATTACTTAATTCCAGGCTTCAAATTTGAACTTTTTTTCTCCAGTGAGCTTGAAGGAACTGAGGCCCAAAACTGCTCTCTGGTCAAACTTGGCATCTGAGCTGCCATCAGAAATCCACACTGTGCTTTTCAAAGCTGGAAGATGATTTTAAGTAAACATGGGAAATACAGGCAGCAGAAAACTTTGTTTGCAGATAAAATATGTTCAAACTGTCATCCTTTGGAGCTCCTTGCTGTTTCCCAGTGTCTCTCTGCCTTTTCCATGCAGCCAGGGGGATGGACATTTTTTCCCCATGAGAGCCTCGTGCGAAGCTCGGAACCCTCTCCTGGCAAATGAGGAGCAGTGGGAGGAGGATGGAATAGATGAAGAGCCCCAGGGTAAGGCAACACTATAGGAAATGAGTTGTGTCCTGACCTACAGTGCCTACCAGATACATTCTAAGCCTTGATCAAACAAAAATGGTGTTGGCTGAGTCCCTGGGCAGCTCTGACTTCACTAACGAGTACAGACTGAAAACAAGCCCTACTTTGGAGTCACCTTTTTTGTTTCTCCAATAGCTTTCTACTTGCAAGTGAATGAACTGAGAGGGTGGTAAAAGCTGCAGAGAGAAACTGAGATTGCCACAAACTGAGTGTATTTACCTGTAAATGTTGTTGCATGCAGTGCAATTGCCTGGGACACAAAAAAAGGAGAGTGCTAAGATTTTTAAAAGTGCAGTCTGAGAGTGTGTGAAAGCAGGCATGCAAACACCTGAGAGCAGGGATATGTTTAAAAAGCTCCTTTATGCTTTGCCCAGCTTTATCACAAGAGTAAAGCAGTTTATTTGATGCTGGATTTGATGTGCTGATCTCCACAGAAGAACTAGATGTGCTAGGAGCAGTTTAGATGTGATGGGTTTCTGGCATTCAAAGATACCTTTTATGCCATGGAAATCCTATCATAAACGAGAATTTATATGTATATACATTCTTTGATGGTTTTTGTTAGATGGATCCAAAATCAGTTTAATGATTTTACATTTCTGTGTTTGAAGTTGACTCTTTTCCCCCTTGGATCTTTACCTGCAAGCTTTGGTCTTGTTGGAATCTCAGGATTCGTGTCAGAGGCCCCAGTCCCCTTGTCTGAGGGTTCAGAAATCCTGTCAGCAAGGGCTCCTGTGGAGCAAGGATGCCATTCACAGGTTCCTTTTAAAACAAAGGTGGTAATCCCCCCTCTTTTTTTCCCTTTAAGGAATGGTGATAGTGTGAATTAATCCTGAGGTTACTCATAATTAGCAGATCAAATCAGAGACGTGATTTCCAATGCTGTGCTCTTTGTTACCTCGGAAGAGTTTTCAGGAACTTTGCTGCTGAAGTTCCCTTCCAGGGTGTGTGTTTTAGTCACCCATGTGCAGGGTTTCTGTTTGAGGCCCTGTGAGGAGGCTTCAGCCTCTCAGGCAAAGGGTGAAAAGCTCCTCGTGTGAACATTTTCCTGCACGTGTTGTGCCACCAGCTCTTTAATCCTCCCAGCACAGGCCCTGCTGCTCGGGCTCTGCTCAGATCTTACCTCTTTGTTCAGGTTTTCCATTGCAAAACTGACTTCATGTCCTGCTGGGAAAATCCAGTCTCTGGGAGTTTGTCAATAGGACTGAAGAGGCTCATTTCAGCTTTTCTTCAGATGATCTGCTTTAATTGGTTCATATCTGTGTGACAGGAAACCACCTGCTCTTCCTGGTTTGCTCTGTACATTTGGGCAGTTACAAGGTAGCACAAATTGGTTTCAAAAATTACAGAATTGGCTTTAGTAGTAAACTATGGCATCTCTGTGAATTTTTTGTGATGCTTAAAGCAAGTCCTTTAGGAATGAGTCAGAACTTCTTCCAACTTTTACAAAGTATAACTTATCTGAATAAATAATTAATTCCTACATATGAAAACATTTGACAGTGAGATGATTTTTGGCTAGATCAGACCCCAGAATATGATCTTACAGGAGCTTATATGAAGTCCCTCAATTTGTAGTGCTTATAAAATAACTGACATCTCCAGGCAGTTGAATTAGATGATCACTATGGGTCCCTTCCAGATGAAATATTCATATTCCCTCTTAAACAATAGAAGTAAACCATTGTAATTGAGTAGTCAGAAAGACCTGAAATGTCACATTAAAACTGAAAGATCTTCATTTGTCTTTGTGGCTTTAAAGCTTGTGACATGGTTATGAAATAAATAAAGGCAATAATAGAGCAATCTGGGTCTGGAAGCAGCTGTTCAGTCATCCCTGACAAGTGGCTGTCTATTTTCATTTGGAATGGCTCTTAAAAACACATTTCCAAATTTAGTGACAAATATATATTCTCAGTGAGAAAACCAGGTTTCCTTACCTGTGACTGCTTTGGTTTTCACTGTGCAGGTTCTGGTGAGGCCTCAGCCCTTGTCATAGAAAGGGAGACATAGCAGAGTGAAGATGCAGCTGGATAAAGCTTGAGCACAAAGGTCAGTGTTCCTTCCTTTCCCTCAAATCCACACCCTGCAGGGAATGGGGAGGGGCTGTTGGACAGTCACTGAACGCTGTGGATGCAGCTGTGATTTCCCCAACATTCTCCAGCTGGCCCAGAAATACTTTGTTAAGGGAACCTGAAGGGCAGTGGTGGCTCTCAGCAGCCCTGGGCTGGGGGCTGGCACAGGGGACACCAGAGCCACCAGCATGGTGTGGAGAGGAGGACACAAAGCCTGCAGCTCCTCTGCAAAATGTGGCAGGAACGACTCTTGCACTGACTTGTACATTCCAAGGTGGGAAGTGTGTGCAGGGATTCATGGAAGGAGCAGGAAGGTGCAGGTGCAGCCTAAACCAAAGCTGAGAGCAGCCAAGTTGCAGTTGGGAGTAAATGGAAGTGACTTGGGATGTCAGATCAGCTGCTACTCCCTGATCTGTTCTTTCCCACCCTGGAGAAACGTGGGTACAACAGCAGATGACACTGTGGGGAAGATGCTGCTCCCAAAACATTCCCTGCTCTGTAAATCTGTTCTGCCTTGGAGAACGGGGCACACACACAGGGAGCTGCAGGCTCTGTCCTCTGCAGGCTTCAGGAGATGCTCTCCCAGAGGAGTGAGATCCAAGGAGTAGGAATCTGCTGTCCCACTTGCAGAAGGTGGAGCAGGCAGATGGAATTTCCCCCTCTGTTTTCCATGGTGTTAATAACTATTGTACAGCAAAGCCTGGCTGTGCTCATGGACAGGGCACCTCCAGACTTTCACCCGTGGGCTCCTGGTTGTGGATACCAGGCCATTTTCTTCCACTCAGAAAAGCCCCAAAGTGTTTTTTCTGTCAATAGTGAGGACTATTTCTGCCCTTCAACTGGGGAGGGAAAACCAGCACTTTCCTTGTTGTTCTTCACGGCTTTCAAACACTCCAAAGTCCAGATCAGTCACTGATGCTCATCACAGGAGTGTTACAGCTGCACATTTTTATTTCCTTAAATTTCAGCTTCCCTCTCAGGAGCCAACACCTTCTCTTGACATGGACTTCACATTTGAGGGGCAGAAAACAAGTGGATCTTCAAGATGAGAAAACATCCTGAAGTATCATCTGACTGGAGTCTGCATCTGAGAGCACTTCTCCAGAAATCCTGCTGTCCAGATGGCCCAAGGCTTTATCAGTTTAAATTACAGAGTTAACAGAACAGTTTTACAGAGTGATTGTGGCCAATCTTCTTTGGCCTGCTCTCTTTATTTTATAAAGACTATCTATTTTTTATGCAAAAAAAAAAAAAAAAAGGTAAAAATGTTGATGAGAGTGCACTTCCAAAGGCCTTTTCATTTTGCAAACATCAGGGACTCGGGGTCTTGAAATTCTACCAAGCCATAATATTCTTGGGGATGGTTATTTATTTTATTTTGAGGCTGATTCTCCAACCTTCTCTGACAAGTGGCATTTTCTACTGTGGCTGAAGTTCTGAGTCAGTTCAGCCCAGTGTGAGATGGACCCAGTTAAATCTGGCACTAAATTGGTAGCTGGGTGTAAGTGTTGAAAGAAAAAGTGCTGAACGTGCACACAGACATGTGCAGCTGTGAATGCAAATAAAATACTCCCATTGCCAGTATCAAGATTCAAGAATATTGTGGCCATAGATTTTTTTAAAAAACTTTTTTTAGGAGGGTGTTATTGTCTTAGAGTTTGGTTATAGTGCTCTTTGCCCAGTCCAACTTGCAGGCACCTAAAATGCAAACAGGAACTTCAGACAGTCAGTTCAGTTTGCATTCATTCCTGGGGCCAAAATGTCCACTCGTTGCTGGATCGGTGTTTGAGGGGAATTTGTTTGTTTGTGCAGTCAGAAAGGAAGGTGTGAATTGAAACACAGGAGTTGGAAATGACACTGAGAGTTTAGCTCCACACAAAATGCTGAAGAGACAATGGATATATAGAGTTTTTCAGACTTCTTCCCAAGCCAGTGCACTGAGGGGTGGTTCCAGGGGTTTCAGCACTAGGAGGTGATCAGATTTTTTTTGCTCCATTTGCAGGCAGAGGGATGTGTCCTGGTTCTGTTCTGGGGAAGGGAACTGACACTTTGGCCGGATTATAAGCATTTTTCTAGGCTTGAGTCTTTTTTTATCTGCATGATTCAGCCCTGGCAGCTCCATCACTCGTGTCTGGATGAGGTGCATGCTTACAGTATTGGTGTACTGCCTTTATGATCATTTGGTACCATTTTCTCTCCCGATTTTGTGTTTGTTTATCAGCCCATTGGTGTTGACCTTGGCTGCAGAGCAGTTGTGCCTGTCAGGAGAAATGACCTGAGAAGTGAGTTTGGTTACAAGGGTTTTGATTAACTACTAAATCCTCTTTTCCTCTGTTTGCTCGGCTGCTGCTGCCATTGGGAATGTGTTGGTGAGGTGGGAGAGGCTTTCTGCCCTCAGGAGCAGCCGTTCCCTGGTGTCCTCCCGCCCTGGGGACAGGGATCATCAGCTCTGCCGCTCCCTGCAGAGCAGGCAGGGATCTCTGGAGTGTCTTACAGCTGAATGGGGTTGTGAGGGGTCAGGGGTGCTTTGTGTCCTCAGAGTGGGGCTGAATTCACACTCAGAATGTTCCTGCTTCAGCCGCCGGAGCCCCGCCCGTGGGGTGCCCGTCTGGCACAAAACGGCTCTCGAGTGTTTCTCCGGTCCATCTAAACCTGCATTTCTAATGTAATTCTCGAGTTGGACCTTCCCCTGTGTGTGATGAAAGATGGCAGCAGAATTAATCACCTCATTTCTGGCAAAACGTGCTCTGGAGGGGGAGGTTGAGAGGACGATGGCACAGGAAGTGTGCAGGAATTCAGCACCAACAGAGGTGCAGTTTGTGCCTTTAAAAACTCGACATTCCTTGTGTAGAAAACCAGGAAGAAGATCTGGGGACTTTCTGTTCCATTCTGTCAGCTGAAGTGTGTTTTGCAGAGCTGTGTGGATTTACAGGAGTTTTCTGAGCAGGTTCCTGTGTCCTTCCTGGCTTTGGTTCTGGTTACAGCTGTGTCATTCTTTGAGCTGTTTGCCAGGCAGCAGCAGCAGCAGAGCTGCCCACAAGTTCTGCAGGCACCATCCCTGCCTGCTCCTGCTGCAGCACTGCTCACTTGGTAGTACAAAAAATCAGGTTTTGTCTTCTAATAATTATTAAACCAGATGTCTTTGAAAGGCAGCTACCCAGCTCAGATTTAGAAGCCATTTTAAACGTTTCCAAGTAACTTTTGTTCAGTTGTTTTTCTTGTAAATAGTTATGGCCAATTCTTCCCTTTCCCTAAAGGCAGCTCAGCCCCGCCCCATGGTTGTAAAAATCTCTTGCCCAGGTAGAAAAAACATAGAGTTTAATCACTTCAGAACCACTCCCCATCAATCTCCACATGTCAGGTGTTGGAAAGCTTCAGGAAATGCGAAACAAAAAAGGTGTGTAAAAATGAGGCAGAACAAAATGAGGGAAAGCCACGTCAGAGTGACTGAACAAGCTCCATTTTTGTTCCCCTGGGACTGGCACCTCGGGATGTCACTGTCGGCCTCTGGTCAGGTGCTGTAAATCCAGTGGCACCAAGGAATTTGGGGAAGTGGCAGGGTTTGAATCTCAGTTCTGGTGCTGCTGTGAGTTGTGGGACTGTGTGCTGAGTGCCTGCAGCAGTGTGGAGGTGGGAAGGCCACTGTGACCCCAGCCAGGGGGGCTGCTCTCTCTGTCTTAGTGTCAGTCCCGGTTTCATGTTCCAAACTAACTGACCACTAACAACCACCTCCTCACCTCTCCCCTTCTCTCCCATTTACATTCAGGTACACTGTGCTCTTAAAAAAAAAACAAACAGGGAGAACATCAGACTGATGTTTCTCTGGGTAGAATGGGGGACAGTCGAGTGCTGGGACAGTCGAGTGCTCGGCCAGGACCCGTCCCCGCTCCACTGCTCTGACGGTTCCCTTTTCTCTGGCTGAGCTGGATTTTTGGAGCAGGATAACCTTGTTTTCCTTCAAGCAGGGGGCAGTTCTGCGTGTTTTCAGCAGGCTGTACCCAGTGTGTGTGGTGCACAGCCACTGGCAAGAACCAGGAAGCTTCCTAAAGGCACTATGCAATGACTGTTTGCTTCCTGGGAGAAAGGGGAGTGCACTCAGCAGAATCCACACCAGCTGGAGCTCTGAAAGCACAACTTGATGCATAAAGTCTGTAATATAAGATGAACATAAAATAACAAATAATTTTCCCTTTTTCCCCTGAATGTAGCTCTGAAGAAGGACAGGCTGAGCTGTTCTCAGGGCCCCACTGCCTCCCCTGCAGAGCAGAGTTAACTCTACAGGGCAGTTTCCCCTTGCAGAGCCAGCTCACTCACCCGAGGGTTTAATTAGCAGGTGAAGGAGGCACTGCTGACCTTATTTATTAAGCCAGAATTAATTAACTCAGAAGCCTCATGTTTTCATTTCAGTGACTCCCGTGGTACAGATTTTTTGAAGCTGATCCACAGCACTTGAAAATACCTCAATTTTATCGATCCTTTTCCAATTCTATCAGCTTGCTTACAGAACGCTTGCAAAGATCAGCCCGTTCTGAAGGGATCAATGACAGCATTTGCATGGTAGAGTGGCTGCTTTCATCGCCAGCAATGGGCTGTCAAACAGCCTGGCAGGGCAGCTCTCCCTGCTCATTCCTGCATTTCCCGCCCTGCTCATCAGCGCTGAGCTGCTCCCACCGCTGCAGGCTCTTATCTTGTCCTTTTTCCATCTCCCCTTGAGTCTTCTCTCTTCCTCCTGCACATGTAGTTACGGTATTTTCAGCTTTGAGCTGCTTGTGCTGGTTTTTGGATACTGTGAAGGTGAGTAGGTGTCATTTTATGCAGTTGTGCGTGTATTTGATTTGTAGGTAATCTGTTTGTCAGGTATCAGTTTGTGATTCTCATCATCAGGCCCAGCTGGAATTGCTTAGAGCAGCAGGATCCCACTTCCTGCGCTTTCTCTTTCCTAAGAAACTCATCTCTTCATTCTTGCACTTCAGTTTGGGATGTAAACCTTGTGAAATAAAATCTGAGTTTACATTTCAAATGCAAGTCTGTAAGTTGGTCATGCCTGCATGCTCCTTAAAATGTTATTTTTTTCTGTATAAGGTTTTAAGATTTACAGCAGCATTTGTAAAGCTTTAGTGGGTGACTTACAATGTTAAAAAAAGTGTATGTTGAGGGGGGGGAAAAAGAGCAGCCAAAAAACCCAACAAAAATGACAAAGGGATCATCTTTATTTCATATTTCAGCTGTGTTTGAAAAGAAATGCCTGCTTGCATCAACCAGCTCATGGAACAGGCAGGGATTTCATCTGAAGGCATCCCTGCTGTTTCAGTAATTCCTCAAGTACTTAATTCCTTGAGTTCGACACTGGAGTAAATCCCGTGGAACAACAAAATGGTTCCTCCCCATCTCCTTCCTGACCTGGAGCACTTTCCTTTGTAAGACAAAGCAAAATCCAGGGGGGTTTGACAAGGTCAGTGTATTATTTTTCTCCCCTGCTTTTTTCTGGAGATTCCAGGAGCCTCCCAGATGTCTGAGAGAGAAATCCCTGGGGAGCTGGGATCCCAAAGGAGGAGTATGGGGACTAAGAACTTGTGTGAGGAGGTGGAACCTGCTGTTTTGCTGTTCTGAACTCCAGGTGTGGTCATTCTTCCTCAGAATTAATTACAGTGTGGAGCAGCTTCCTGCTCTACTCACTGCCCATCTAAGCAGGAGCTACTCCAGAGTGAATCCAAATCTATTGTTGGAGCAGGGAATTTATAACAGCTTCCCTTTTGCTTAGGAACATAGGAAATAGAGAAGGCCTTGTTATTTTATGAATTATAATCTGATCAGATGGCTGCTCTTCATCTGAAAATTATCTTTATTGTGCAAATAGGTCCCTCAAAGATGAAATAATTTAAATCTCAGGATCAGACAATGGCAGCTCTGTCTGTATGTGCTGTTCAGTGTTAGCAGGAGTTTCTACTTTGCCTCCCAGGAAGGCCAGTGGGTTTCACTTGCTGGAGTTTTTCCAGGCAGGAAAAGGGGGTTGAACAGCCACTGCAGGAGCTGCTCTGGGTTGGGGGGCTCTGGGGAGCCAACTGATACCAAAATCTGCACCAGGATCAGGGTTCCTCCACTGGAACCCCTGTGGGGGCTGAGCAGGCTCTGTGCCAGCAAAATCAGGGGAAACAGTAGAATTCCAGTGATTGGTGTATTTACATCCATGCTTTTCAGGAACCAGCATGAGCTGGTGGTGTTTCCTCAGCCCAGCTCTGATCTGTGCTGCTCAGCCAGCTGCTTTCACACAAATTCCTCACCTCTTCCTTTAACAGGGAATAACTATTTTCCAGTGAATGTCACAAAGGGACTGCTGCCCCCCTTTGGGGTGCTGAGCTGGGGTCAGGAGTTTAGTGCTGCTGCTGACACTTTTGATATCAAATCCTTGGGATACTCCTTTTTACTGTTGGACAAACATTCTGACCACGCTGATGCCCTGTGGAGTTTCACTGGCATTTTCCAAGTGTTTGTACAGTTTCTACAGCTGAATATCCTGTATGTTCTGCTTTGTTGTTTTCTATTATGCTTTATACTGTACTGCAGGCAAGGACTGCATTAAAACCATTTTTGGCTAATTTATTCTACTTGTGACTGGTTATTTCCCATGCTGGGGTGAAATGTTCCCTCTCTGGAAGCCTCACACAACTTTAATTAATCGGAATTACCACTTGGAGCAGGGAAGGTTCTTTATTTGTGACAAAAAAGGATTCACTAAATGCTGGGACTGGTGGGGGCAGCCCAGGCCTTGGCACTCTGCTCATCTGCCCAGAGGGACGAAGGACACTTGGAACAACCTTCCCTAATCCTGCATTTGTTAGGACATGGAGATGCTTTAAAACAATAATGTATTTACAGATACATTTCCCCAAAGTTACAGTAAGGTAAGGCCAGTGCCAGCTGAAGTGCTGGACATCAGGAACTTGGTACCAGGGGATTTAAAGCCAAAGACAGAAGGAATTTGGCCCTGAGTGATGTTTAATGTGACCCATACAGTGAGGGCTTGGAAAGGCTGCTGAGCTCTGAGGGCCATGTTGGTCTGCTGGCTTTAAGTCCTGTTGCTCTGTGAACAGAACTAGAAATGGAGTTCCAGCTTATTGCTGCAGTTTTCCTCATTTAAAAGGATTGGTGAGACCAATCCAGCCACAAGTTTTGACTCCTAAAATTCCCAAGTACTGTATGTGTGTAATTTCCACAGGCACTGCTGCTTCCATCCCTGATTCCCAGTTTTCCAGGCCATGTCTGCTGCACCAGGAAGCTTCTTTATTCAGGACCACTCAGCAAGACAACTGAGGCTGTTTTACTGTTTGAAAACAATGTACACAGAGCAAAACTCCAAGAGCTGTACCCCTGGTTCTCAGCCACCAGCCAAAGACCAAAAAATTCTGCCCAAAATTCCCTGTGGCTGCTCAGAAGGACACTGAGGTCCCAGTGCACCCCTGGGTTTGGAGGCAGTGGGAGTGGCTGTACTGGCTGAGCTGGAGTGAGGGACAGTGACCCAGAAATGAAGGAGGCTCTGCTGGGATTCAGAGGGTTTATTTGCTCTGCAGGCAGCCACGAGACAGGAGAGAGAAGAATAAATAAGTTAAAGCAGAGTGTGGCAGTTTAACAACCCCAAGATGGAGATGCTTGGCCATGTAACCAGAGTGCTTTGTACCTGATCCCTGTTCAGGCCAGGACTCACCTAAGTCAAGTATTTCCCCCTTTGGCCAAAAAGGTTCCCAAACACACCCTTGACAACCCAACAATAATAAAACGTAGAAAAAAAACCTCTTGTAATGTCATAGAGTCACATCCAGTTGTTCTGAGATTGTCAGTCTGTTCCAAAATACTTCTGTCCAAAGTGTGTTGGTGCAACAGGATGCACTTCTGTAGTTAGAATGGTGATTTCTGGGAATTCCTGGATGATGGATTTGGCACCTTTGAAGAGAAAGCAAAGGCAATAGTGACTACAAGGCTTCAGCACGTGCCAGATCAGCATCAGCAGCACTCTGAAGGTGAGTCAGGCTCTGTGCTCTTGTCTCCACTTCCTGCCTTAGCTAATGTCTGTGAGGAAAACTCCCTGACTGCTTTTTTGGGGGTTTCTTCTTTGGATTTTCTTTTCCTTTATGGTACATGTGCACTCCCCACCTAATCACCAAGGTGGTTACAGGCTGCCAGGAATAACTCCCTGCAGTCCAGGGCAGTGTTTTGGCAGTGATTTTTGTGCTTCCCAGATGTCCCTGGTTTAGATCCCCTTTTCCCAGGTAAGATCTCTACCCTGCAGACAGGACTGTTCTGTGGCTCTGTTCACCTCCCACTGCTGACAGAACTGGTGTCCTTTTGGTGCTGGACTTCCCATCCCATCCCATCCCATGGGTTACTGCCATTGCTCTGGGAGCCAGGGAAGCACGTTGTGGACCTGGCAGTGCTGCAAAATCCTGCTTTTAGGAATCCTTTCCCATTGGGTGTGCCAGGCTGTTCCCTTCTGCTGCCCCACTCACTGCCCACCCCACTGTTGTACAATTCAGCTCTGCCCCCTGTGTGACACGTGGGGCTGATGCCACCTCCCCAGGACACTCCTGTGCCCCCACAGCCCTGACTCACCATGGGGTGTGGAGAACAGGCTGAGCAGGATGATGACACTGGGCTGGACCCCGTGTTCCACCAGCACCTTGACAGCCTCGATGACAGTGTTACCAGTGCCTGGAGGGGACAGAGGGACACACCTCGTGAGTTAACCAGAAGATGTTGGACTCCCAATGAAGGAACTTAGATTTGAAGAGTTACCTCATCACAACAAACTCCTTACCAGACTACGGGGTTTTTTGTTACTATTAACTGGGTTTAATTTTAAAGTAATTTGATTCTCAGATTATAATACTAATCCATATATGTTTTTTAATAATGTAAGAAAAATACTGTTTGAATCTTTTCTCATGGCAAAATTTTAAAAAAATCCATTTATATCGAGTCTTAATCTTCAGCCTTTCTCCCAAACACTGCCATGGCCAAAGGATTTGCTTTGCATTCCCACTGGTGCAGCTGACTAATGTGTGTCCTGGTACAGCCTGAGAATTCCCTGCTCTGTCACCCAAACCAAGCAGAAAACCTCACCCAAGCCCCTGAAATTTGGGGGGTTTCCTTTCATTCAGGCCCTGCCCCATCAGAGGAGTCTGACTGTCCATAAAGGGGGCAGAACTCACTCAGAATTGGGTACATCAGCAGGACTTTCCTCCTGTAGATGTCTGGAGGGAACTTGGCGTAGTACACCTTGGCTCGCTGGGTCTCCTCGTCGCTCTGGATCAGGATCTTCCCGATGCGGATGGAGCGGCAGCAGTCCCGGAGCCCTTGCTCCATGGCCTCTCCTGCAGGGAGAGCAGAGCCCAGCAGCACAGGGAAACAGGTGAGAAACAGCCCCACTGCAGCCACAGGGACAGTCCCACCACCCTGAAACTGCCCCACTGCAGCCACAGGGACAGGGACAGTCCCTCCTCTGTGCTGGTGAACAGTTCTAAAGGGAGATTGTTTTTCCTCAGTTCTAAAAGCACTTGAAGTTCTTTTCCTTTTTTCTCTGCTGAGACAGAAAATCAAATCTCCTCAGTGTTCCTGAGTCCCTGGCTGTTGGTGTTCCTGAGCTGTTGGTGTTCCTGAATTCCTGGCTGTTGGTGTTCCTGAGCTGTTGATGTTCCTGAATCCCTGGCTGTTGGTGTTCCTGAGCTGTTGGTGTTCCTGAATCCCTGGTTGTTGGTGTTCCTGAGCTGTTGGTGCTCCCCCCAGCAGTGCTGAGCTCTCAGAGGGCAGAGCTGGCAGTGGCAGAACCAGCGTGTGGGGTTTGGGAACATCCATGAGCTCTGCCCGGAGCCCCCCCGGTGCAGAGTGTGGGGCAGGAGCTGTGGGCTGATGGATTTGACAGCACAGGTCCCAAGGTTTGCACAGCCCTGGGAAATCACTCTGCCACCACAGAGCGTGGCTGGAGTGGGACCTGGCTCTGGGCAGCAGTGGGAACCAGGGCAGGGCAGTTGGCCCCTCACAGGGAGGAGAAGAGGCAGAGGAAATCCCCTGCAGCCATTTGTTGCCTAAAAAGTTAATGGAAGATACTCCTGGACATTTGTGAGCAAGGATATCTAAGAAAGAATAACAACTGGCAGGTTTGGGTAAACCTTTGCTGTAGAGAAATATTGTTGCACATTTCTGCAAGGAAGTTCTTCCAGGTTTCCAGAGTGTTTAATTCACACTCCTGCAGCACCAGCAGTACCTACCACTCCTCATGATGCTGACCCCGCAGTTTCCCTTTTCGAATCGGACTCCTTCGTACTTGTGTCCTGTGAGGAAAGAAACCAGGGCTCAGTGGCAGTTCCCTCCTGCCCCCTCTGGGGACACTGTGTGATGTGACCTCGAGATCCTGTGAGTACCCAGGGGACAACACCAAGCCCGTGGGTCTGCACGGGTGGCACAAACCACTCTGCACCCCAGAGCCTGCAGCCCTCCAGCAAGCAATGGGAACAGGGCCAGAACCCCACTGGTAAAGGACTTTTTATCATTGAAAGTCTGGTCAAGGATCCTGTCAGGGCTGTGTTTACAGCAGGGATCCTGTCAGGGGTGTGTTTGAAAGCTCAGGGATTTGAAATAAAGGACACCATGCCAAAGGAAGGTGAGCAGTGCATCCCCCAGGAGCCAGGTAAATGCAGTCCAGTGCTGCAGGTGACAGTGAGAACTGAGATAGATCCTACAGTGCCAATTGATCACTGAAACTAAAGAGGGGCAATGGTGTGCACATGAGACTTCCCACTCAAAACACCTGTAGAGCTTCCACGTGATGCCACCTGCAGGAGACCTGCCAGTCAAACACAGAGGAGAGATGGTCACTGATCTGTCACTGGGTGATGGGAGCAGAGCTGACAGCAGCTGCAGAGGTAAAGGAGCTGCTGTTTCACTTACAAAGGAGCACAGGTGGCCCTGGTGCTGCCCAAGCTCTGTTGAGTTTCACAGTCCAAAGCAAAGACATAGCCATGATTTACTGCAGAGGGCAGAGGGTGGGAATGTCACCCTGCAGAAGTGCAAATGGAATTCTGAGGGGAACAGAACTCACCTGGTGCACATCTTACAGGTGTGCTGTGGGTCACACCATGCACTCAGTTCCCACTGACTCGTGATGCTCTCAGCAGCTGCCTTATGCACACAACTTCTGGATCTTTACAGCTCATGGGAGCAAACCACAATTACTGCCATGGTTTGCTCTAGTGCCAACACAGCCACTTCTCATTTCCTGCTCCTCATCAGTCCCAGCTGGCCCCAGCTGCAGGGACAGATTTAGGCTGGCAAGGCAAAACTGCTTGTGCCAAGTACTTTTCCTTTAATGGGCAGGTGAAACGTCCTCAGTTTTAATTCAAGGTTGTGGTGTGGGCAAGAAAACTCATCTTGCACCTACACTGGTACATTTTCATGACAGTTCTGCAAGACCAATTTAAAACTTATTGAATTGCTGGATGGAATGGAATGGATTCCATGATCCTGTGAGTCCCCTCCACCTCGAGATATTACATGATTCTTGTAACAGTTCTGTATTTTTTTATATTAGTTCCACTTCCTGTCCTGCCCAGGAGAGGAGTCATTTCCCATTTACCTGTTGGAGTGGTCACGGTACATTCTGTGTAGGGCAGTTGATTCAGTCCCTCTTCAACCACCAGTCTGATCTGTGGAACCAAAGAGAAGGGATTTGTTATCTATGGAGATAAGATACTCCATGTCAGCAGTTTTTACAAGCACTTAGATGAACACCTAACAGCCCAAAGGGTCTAGAAGGCTCTTTTTAATAGTAGTGATTGAATTTAGAGACCTTTCTGGGGTGATCAAATGAAAGCATTGCAAAACCAGTTTGGGGGAAAGGGGCGTTCATAAGCAATTATAAAACTGACTTAATTTATATCTGACAGGCACAGACATCACAGACAAGCTTTTCTCAACAGATGAATGAGGCACCAATGTAGCTTCATTTGCTGACAGGAAATACTAATGAGGGAAAGGGACAATTCCCCCTCTCAGTTCTCCCCCAGTCGAGCTCTGAGGTCTATTTTCACATCTGTATTTCCAGGACTAACCTGCAGTGGGGCTGCCAGAACAGCCACTTTTACATTGCTGCAGCAATGCAAGCACACCAGTGAGTGCTCAAAGACAAGTCAGCAGATCTAGAAATCTCTTTCTCACCTCCTTCTGGCACCTGCCAGCTGTGGGTACCGTGGGATGCTCTGCCAAGCACCCCTACTGCAGGATGGCTCAGGTGGAGCTGCAGCTCACGAGCCACACACCCCTCCAGTGGCCACAAACCTCCCAGCCCTGTCCTGGGCCTGCCCTGCAGCTGCACCCCAGGCAAAGCTCCCAAAATATCTGCATCATCAATGCCCCCCAAACATGCTCTGGGTATTAAAAATGTGCACTTTCTCTCTGTTCAGGAGCCAAAGATCTGTAGGCCAGAACTGCTCCAGGAGAGCTCCAGCTGAGTCAGAGATGAGGTTGGTTATTCCAGAGTCACTCCAGGATGGCAGAAGTGAGGGGATTGCTCCTGGGCTGGAGCAGGTGCACTGCTCCCCTCAGGCACTTCCCATCCCACAAACAGGGTAGGGCAGGCTGGAAGGTTTCTCCTGGTTTTCCATTCTGCCCCAGTACCTGGCACACAGGCAGCCTCTGCTAGGAATGAGGGATGCTCCCTTTAAGTTTATAATCCCTCTTTGAAGATTTTTTTTAGTCATTTTCGTACAACTTTTTCCTAGAGTCAGGTTTGTGGCCCTACTCGGAAGTGGTGTCCAGTTTCTGGGACATCTCTACCCAATTTTATTTTATTTTTTAAAGTCAATTCACACAAAAAATCCCCAACTCATGAGCCAGATTTGGAAGAAACACTTCTTTTCATACTCCTGTTTTGCTGACAGGGTTAGCATCACTCTACATCCTCTGCCAAAAGTTCAGAGTAAAGCAGTGAAAGGTCTTACAGTCAAATAATCTCCTTGATCTTCCTACAAGTATCAGTGTTTTACAGAGGGGGCTGGAAGGATTCTTCTGTAAACTTGTCAGTGTTGATAAAACACTTTCTTTTTGTACTGTGCTTCCTGCCACCTCCATGCTCAGGGATTAATTTCCATCTCTTTTCTCTCTAGCCCCAAGAACCAGCAGCCCTGTTCCTCTCCCAGAGAGGTGGCTGCCATTGCTTGGAAGCTAAAACAGGTATTATTTATGGCCTCACATGAAACAGGAAAGCAAAACTTAGATCCCAAGGTAAAAGAGTTTGACCGGAAATTAAAACCATTAATTAAAGTTATCAATAAGAAAAATAAAGTCTATTTTTAATTGGGAAACAAAAACGAAGCTGAAAGGGATGTTCATTCCTGGCAGGCCAACTTAAACTGTCAAGGCTTCCAGAGTTATGCTGAAGGTTTGGATTAAGCATTTAATGCTGATATACAGAATTATCTGTCAATGTGCTCATTTATACAGGTTGACATTTAGGATTTACCCCAGAGCCTTTGCAGTAAACAAAGGGAAATACTGTTTGCTCTGAACCTTCACTAGTACAAAACCTGCTAGAGCTGTCAGCAAAAACAAGAGTTAATGGGGGGTCCAAGGAGCTTTAGCCAACTACCACACAAACATTTTAAGGATATGAAAATGTTAGTGAAATCCACCTTTTCCCAGCCAATTAAGCCCGTGAATGAATGAAGTCTCCTTACCACAAATACCAGGGAGGAAATCAGGTTTGACCAGTTCCTCAGATTCCAGGAACAGAGAAATCTGGATACAGGCAACTAAAGCAAGCAAGTGACAGTGTTCTCATTTAAAGGGGGCTAAAATTAACTAATTAAGGAATCAGTCAGGGTGTAGTGGGAGGTGGTGCTGCTCCAACCACACCAAGCTGGGAAAACAGGAGCCCTTTCAGAGCCACCCTAAAAGGTATCTGTGATCTCAGCAGTTGCTGTTCCAACCCTCCTGCCTGCCTGCAACTTGGAAAAAGATGAAGCCTTTAAAGGTCCAGAAACTGGACTGTAAATAAATTCTGGAGTGACCATTACCACGTTCCCCCATCGGTGGGCAGACAGCAGGCTGACTTTTTTATGTGCCAGCCATGCATCACCTCATTTCCAAAATCATAGCAATTCCTAGGGGATCCTCTAACCCGTTCTGTGTTGCTTTTCTTGGAAGCTGAAAGGGAGGCAGGACAGCAGGGCTGTCAGCCATGCTTTCTGTCTGTACAGCTCCTTGCAGCTCAGCATTTCAAACCCCTTTGGAACTATCACCCCCTGAAAGAGGCAGGTGGGCAGAAAGATGAAGGGACCTGCTCAGTGTTACACAGGGAGCTGCTGGTAGGGCTGAGAAACTACTTCATTCCTCAGCCTCAGGCCTCCAGTCACACCCCAAAATCTGCTTTCTGCTGCAAATGACTGGTTGTTTCCCATGGCAGAGGCTTGCTTCCTTCCCAAACACCAGATGGATTGTCCTCGTCCTCCTAACTTCAACCTCCCATCTTTCAGACACTCCCTGACAACCTCCAGCACCTGTTAACTGCTTTTGCTCACAAGTATCTTTGAACATTTCCTTTGTAGCATCCCCTTACACGTGGAGCAAAGAAATCCATCAGCTTTAGAACCCCTCCTTAAGACCTCTCCTTGTGGTGACCTTATGAGACACTGCCACTGACAGCTCTCTACAGTCTCACACACCTTTCTTCTCTTCATGTTTTGAGTCTTGCCATTAAGCTCTGTTTGCTCCCTGGGTGGAAAATACAGCAAGTCATAACTCTTGAGTTAGCACCTTGTTAAGTTTAGTAGAGACCATGTCCCAGGTGAAGCTGTGACTGTTCTTTGCCACACCTAGGAATAACATCCAGAAAGTGAGACTCCTACATATTGTGCTGTGTAAAATTCTTCCTAAAAAAAAAAAAAGGAAAATAGAGCAGCAGGTTCCTCAGCAAACAGCTGCAGGACCAGCACACAGAGGTATTTCTGTGGAGAGCAGCTCCCCAGCTGTGCTGCCCAGCCACAGAAGATGCTGCTACAAGGGCCTGAATCACTGCAGTTTCTAGCAATGATGGGGGAAAAAGAATTAAAAAATCACTGTGCTCTTCAGGACATCCACACAAAGTGAGAAGGTACCTGGGAGAGGTCCTTCACACTAATCCCTCACAATAAACTACTGGAATGCAGGAAACATTCTCAAGAAGGAGAATGCAGAGGGGAAAGTGGAAAGCCACAAAGATAAAAAGCACTTCAGTCACAATCCTGGGTTGTGTTCATACCTAAGCCCTGAACAAGCCTGGATAAGGCCTGGATTAAGACTGGGCTTGTCACAGGGAATCAGCCTGCTGTGGTAAATGGTGCTGGGAACTGAATGGTCTTTGGACTCTCTGTTAATGAGAGTGGATTTGGAAAAAGCAAACACCCTCATGTGTCCAAGGAAGTGTATGTGTGGCAGCAAGTGATTTTCTTCAAGCATGTAATTTCAAGGAGAAAAAGGCTGCATTCCCAACAGTCTTTGTTCTGACTTACTAAAAACCTCCAACTGCTTTGTCCCTGACAGTAACTACCATATGGCTAAAAACAAATTCTCCATGTGGATGCACCCTGAGCTACTAATCTAATGCACAACAAGCGCCAGGAGGCACTTCTGCAGGCAAGCAATTGTTAACATCTAGGCTGTAAGAAATTGTACTGCTCTGTTCACAACATCAAAAGTGCTGTTTGGAAGTAAAACTCAATTATCTCTTGCCTCTGTGCATCTGTTTATAAACAGGAGTCTCTTATTACCACTGCTCCCTGTCCTCACGTAGCTGTGCCTGATAATAACGTGGTTTCTGGAATCCACTGAGAAGAAACAAAGAACAGAAGTCCCTCTACAGAAAGTTGCTGTCAAATAGCAATTTCCTTTGGTTAGAAAAGTTGCTCTCACACCATCGTTACTCCATCCTGAAAGACCTTTTTAATGGAAGAGTTACAAAGTGCAATGCCAAGAAGAAGAAATTCTTCACCTACCAGACGATCAGCAGAAAATACGAAGTCTCCTCTACTGGATTTCCTGAAAAAAGTAATAATTTATTTTTTAAAATTGGGGAATAACTTTAAGAACACTGATTAAATATAACATTAATTCAAGGACAATATATCCTAAGGCAGTTCAGAGAAAAATCTCCTATTGTATACAAAATTTATCCCAGAGGTTCTGCATCATAGGTCTCCTGCTTGGTGGCAGGCACTGGGATGCAGTGAGCAAAACCTGGGCTTTGGCTCCTACTGCTGCTCTGTCCCAGTGGCAATTAAAGCATGAACACACAGGGATGATGCTCTGTAGGTTTTCCATTGTACTGCTGTTCCAGCTCAGTTCCAGAACACCTCCCAAGCTCAGAGGGGCACCAACATGGTGCATTCCCTGCAGCTCTGAGCAAGGGAACTTTGCTCCACATATTCTTCAATTTAGAAATCATGGGACAATGACAGTGCAGATCCCCAGCCCTGAGACTGACAACACACCTGATAAGCAGGAGACACATCCTATCTTACCTGGAACTCATTCAGAGTGTGAATAGATCAGTGGACCTGAGATTAAAGTGAGCAGGGATTAAGAAGCATTCCCATTAAAACACCTCTCTGCCTCTGATTAGCCTGGGCACAACCTTTTACTTGTGACTGTGTGGCTTTTGGCCCCCTCAGCAGGCAGAATGAAAGGTTACAAGTCTGAAATGTAAAAGCATATTTTAACACCTTGCTTCCCAGAACAAGACCAACTCTCACTCCATGAGAGCAGGACATGTTTCCAATCAAGGAGCTCAAGATTACTGGACACTCACCTTCAAAACCCTCAGACACAGCACCCACGTGGCAGACAGGGCCTTTTAAACGAACTGTTGTATTAATCACAGCGGGAAAGCCCCTCTCTCATTGTCCAACTGCGATAAAGAGAGTTCTGCATTTAACCCCCAAGGTTCTGGGACACCTCACATTAACATGAGGGAAAGGCAAGAGGTTTGTCTGCTCATTGCCTGGGAATTTGTCACTGAAAAAAAGGAGGTTTAAAAACAGTGTCAGCCTAATCTATTTTCTTTGCTTGTACTAATAACACACTACTAAAAACACTGATTGCTTTTATTTTTTTTCCTTCTTTCTGGTAAAAACAGGATGTTCCTAACTGTCTGCCACTTTGACACTAATCAGGCAATACTCAAAAAGATGCCCAAAACTGTGGAAAACAACCCCAAACCCCTCCAATTATAAAACTACTTGTATTAAGATTTTTTTATAGGATTCATATTTCCATCTATGGTGTGTAGGTAATCTTTTAAAAAGCAGTGTAGCAAAGTGGCACATCTGGGTTCTTCCAAGCTATTGCATTTCAGAAAATCTACCCCAATCTCTAAAATGGGTGGCAAGGCAAACCCAACTATGTCAAGTCTACAGTAAAGTGACACATATTTCGGGTGGACACTCTGAGTTATTAATACAGATTATTACAGGTTTTACACTAACTACTCAGTCCTTGCAAAGACACAGCTGGTTTTATGCCCAGTTCACTGAACACCCTTATCATGCCTGGTTTCTGAGAGGGGAAAGACAACAGAAAACCACATTGCATAAAAATGAGAAGAACAGTTATACTGAAAATGAAAAACCTCGTGTACACGGGCAGCTGCAGAGCTGCGACCACATTACATCCCACCGGCAGAAAAACAAAGCTTTCTGTGAAAACACTGTAACTGTTCCCCTGAGACACCAGACAGAAGCATAGAAAGTAACGACCCCTGGCAGACTAGAAAGTGTTTCAGCTTCTTGATCGAGTAACAAGACAACACCCAATAAGATGAGGCATTAAAACCCGACTGGAAGCAGGCAGATAACAAGGGGAACGTTGTGGTAACAATGTAGTTATTTCAGTTTGTTTCTGAAGGCCTGGGAGCAAGGCTGATGTACAGTTATATCCTTCAGTGACTAATTTTTCCAGTGCCTGGGCTGGGGGGGGGGGGATGTGAAAGGGATCCCACCCTCCCTGCCTGCAGCAGTCAGCTCCGCTCATCCCAGGTGAATTGCACGCTCCTGAATCATTCTGCTCTGTGCAGCCAGCACTGTGTGTCCCACTGCTTTGCCATCTGCATTTCTATGGTATCAGGATCCCCAGGGAGTGAGAAGCCTTAGTAGAGCACAACAGAATGATCTCACCTAACAGACACAAGAACCTTTCAATATCTGGATTTAAATCATGTCTATTGTTAAATTAGGAGTTAAAATGACACTATCAACCCAAACTAATGAGTTTGCTTCCACATAAAACACATTGCTGAACAACTCATTTCAGCTTCCAGATCCCTGGTTCTCACCTGTAAGGCCAGAAATCACTTTGAGGTAATTCCCTCCTCGGGAAGAGGCTGTGTTTGTTCCAGAACGTTCAATACTTAAATGCATCAGTTCACATCTCATTAGGGCACTGGAGGTTCATATCCAGCACACAGTGAAAAATCTGCCCCTGTTAAGCATTCACTGGATGGAAAAGTGACAAGCCTGAGGAAAAAAGAGCAAACCCAGGCAAGCTGAGGTGATCTACCCATCTCCCCAGCTCCAGCTCACGGACCAAGTTCTTGTTCATTTTAAGGGAGCAAAAGAAATGCATGGTCATTGTAGTCTTCCAGGCTAAATCAGGGACCCAGCTGTCTCTGAACCCCACAGGACATGCTGACCAGCCAAATGAAGGTGGGTTTTTCTTTAGCTGGCAATTCACAACCAGGGCACTTCTGAGGAAGAGTTTCTGTCAGTATTTGGTTTAAATGCTGCAGTGGCTACAGAGTTTTCTTAAGGCAGATTGCACCTGCCCAGGGAAAGGTTAATAAACAGTGCCCAAAAAACCCTCTCCCCTTCACAGCTGAGCATGTTCCAGCATCTTCCTGAATGCCAGGGACTAAAATAAGCCAGTCTGAGGTCTCTTATTTAATGAGATGCAGCAGAATTTCTGGGACAGAACACAAAAATAATGGTTCCCTCTTGTCCTTACCTACAAAGTCTACACCTGCCTTTCTGAGCAGGCTGCTGTCCAGTTTTCCTCACTGGTTGGGAAGGGAGCTTGGAAGTGACAGTTACATATTCCCACTGCCAGGGCAGAATAAAGTACAGTCTGTGATTGCTGCAGCTGCTCTGAGTAATTCATTATTTACAACTCTTATTCTAGACTTCCTCTTACCAAAGTCTTGTGCAATGAAGCTGATGCAACCCTAAAAAAAATGTCTTCCAAGTTAAAATTGCAGCTGCTGGTTTCCAGATAAGAAACCTATTAAATGGATTTGCAACAGTTCAAAATCTGCTTACAGTAAAATAATAATACCTAGGTACAGTAACTACATTGCCAGTATTTGCCCAGATATCAAAACTATGTGCTATTTCCTTTTCACTAACCTCAGAACCTTTTGCAGGCCATCACCAAGCCTAGTTTGGATTTCCTCTCTGTCTTTCTCTGCTTAGCTCACTATCAGCTTCCCTCTCTGCTCTGCAGAGAAGCTGCCAGGCAGCCGTTCTCACCTGCAGAGATCTGTGTGGTCTTGCCACAAGTGCCATCCTTACACAAAGACTACCTCTGGGTGCTCCTGCCTGCCAGGAGATTATACTTTTCCACAATACTTTGAAAATTAAGGGGAAAAAACTGCCAAAAAAACAACCAAACAAAAAACAACCAAACAAAAACAGACAAAAAACCCCAAACCACAACTAGTTTAAGGTAACAAAGCTCAGGTAAGCTAATAAAATTAATGGAGATATTGTTTTTGAGAGAGTGTGGCATTAAAAACTGTATTGCTGTTAGCTACAAAGTAAGCCTCGAGAAGCAGAAAATGCCAAAACGTAGACTATGCAGATGGACAGATACAAAGCACAGGGACAAACAGTGTCTGTGCAGTGAGTTAGTTATTGCAGATGTCACAAAGACGATGCGCTGCAGGAAGAGGTTTTGTTCAGAATCTGATCACTCTATTGATAAACTTGATTTCACACCTCTTTGCTGCTGGTTCTTGCATCAGAGGTGGTAAATTATGCTTTTAATAGATGGATGCTACTTATGTTTGTCATGTGTTGCATACTAAATTTAATACCTTACAATATCATTCCAAGCGCTGAACAATCAAAGCTACAGACGTGCCATGTGTTCACCACCCGAGATGCTCTGTGGAACACCGTGCTCACATCTCCCTACAGCCAGAGCCCGGGGACGGCTCCCTGCCCCATCCTGCGGGCAGGATACACGATATCCGGACAGCGGGAACGAGCCCAGCTCCTGCCGGGCCCGCCGGAGGGACCATAAGGTACAGCCTCCTTCCTCCAGGGCTTTACGGTCCTTTGTACCGCCCGCTCCGTGGAACGATGATGTGGCACGCGAGCTCCGAGCCGCCCACGCCGCGGAGGTGAGCAAAAACCTCGCATCGGGGAGGGCAAAGATCTGTGAGGGGGTTCGAGAGCCTCCGAGCCGCTGTCCCAGTGCCCGGCGGCTCCGGGGCGGAGTGGGCAGGGACCCCCGGGAGCGCCGCCCGCCCTCTGCCCTGCCCAGCCCTGCCCTCGGGCCCCGCGTCACCAGACATGGCCGCGCCGCCGGCCCGGCAATCCGCCCGGCACGGCAGCGTCCCGCCGGCCCCGGGATCGGCCCCGGCCCCAGCCCCGGGACGGGCCCTCGGGATCGGCCCCCGGCCCCGGCGGGGACAGCGCGGCCGCGCCGGGACCCCACGGGCAGCGCATCCCTGCTGCGGCCGCGCCGAGCAGAGCCGGCACCGGGGTACGGCCGAGAGCGGCTCGGCGGGGCTGCGGCTCCCTGGGGAGGGAGCGAGGCAGGGATGGATTGAGTGGGACCGGCGGCGATCCCCCGCAGCCTCCCCGGCTCCTCCCCAGCCCGCGCTGCCCCGCAGCCGCGATCCCCGCCCGCCCCGCGGCGCTCACTTGTCCCTGATGATGGTCTGCAGCTCCCGCAGCTGGTCGTTCATGGGCAGCAGCTTCAGCTGCGGCCCGATGGCCGGCGCGCCGCCCTCCCCCGCGGGGACCGGCGGCGCCGCCACCACCCCGTTGCTGCTGCTGCTGCTGCTGCTGCTGTCCGGGCTGGGGCAGCCGCTGTCCTCGCTGGGCTCCGCGAAGCGGATCAGCCGGGAGCCGCCGCCCGCCGTGGCCGTGGCCGCCGGCGGCGGCTCCTCCTGCGGCCGCGGGCCGAGGCGCTGGTTCTGGCAGGGCATCGCCTCCATGCGCCGGGGCCGCGCCCCCGTGCGCGCCGCCGGGGCGGGGGGAGCGCGCCCGCCGCCCGCGCTCCATTGGCGGCCGCAGCCGCCGCTCAGAGCGGGGGCGGGACCGGCCCCAGCCCCGGCCCCTCCGGCCCCGGCCCCGGCCCCTCCGGCCCCGGCCCTGCCCGCACCTCCCGCTCCGCTGCCCCTCGGCTTCCCCCGGGCACGGGACCCCCGGAGCCCCCTGGGAGCGCAGCGCCCCCGAGTCCTGCTGCGGGGGTTTATCCCGCCTAATTTGATTCTGTTTGGGGGACCTTTACAGTTACGGGAAACTGTAATAGGTGCAGGGTCAGAGACGAGGTAGGATTCGAGGAAGTCCAAAAACGTAATTGTGGTTTGTTTGTTTGTTTTTTTGTTTTTCCTGAATACAGCTGCCCAGGTGTCGCTACAGCCAGTGATGTCTGCAGGGACAGCCAGGACAGCTCCGCCCCTCAGCGCAGCTCCTGGCACGGATACGCGTCCACGTTTCCACCGTGCCAAGCTCTTGGGAAAGGTGCTACACGGAACATGCTGCGTGTGGATAAAAGAACCCTGAATTGTGGTATCTCAGATCTGACACAGCTCTAATGTCTCAACAAACATGTATTGTCAAACCTCATAACACCATCCCGGGACAATCTAGTCACTGTTGAACAGGGAGGGAGGAGCAGGCTCCACATACCTGGACGCTGTGTCAGGGACAGCAGCTCTTCAAAACTCACAATGAGACCCTAAAACTGAAGATGGAAAACATGCATTTAATCGTTCAGTTCATGCTCTCTTTAGTACAGTCCCTAATTTTTTTGTCTAATGCGATTTTGAAGTTCTGAAGAAGCACCAACTGCATAAGAAATATATACTCCTTTCATGAAATGCAAAGAGGAGTGTTTCGTGTTCTGATGGAATATTGACATTCTGCCATTCATCTAACTGAAAAAAACACGTCAGCAGACTGCTGGAGAGAAGTGATTAATTTTGAGAAAGGGATTAAAAGTGCTAAATGCTGGCACCTTAGTTTCCAGAGAGCTAAGGGGGAACTATGCCCCATGCTGTAAACATTTAAGAGGGATAAATTCTTAATGATGACAGAAGGAAGAAATTCTGAAAGTAGGGAGGATCCAATTAAATACAGAGAAGCTAAATATAAATACCAGCAAATAATTGTGACTTACAGCTAACAGTAGAGTACCAACCCCAGGATCTGCACCCTTATTTGCTCTATCTCTAAGTGCAAAAGACAATCCTCAAGACACCATACAGAGAAAGTTGAAAAGAGCAATATGCCCAGGCAGTTCAGGAAGCAACATGAGAGAAAACAACCCACTCACAATGCCTGGTTTCCTGTAATATGGATGAAATATGTAGGAGGTATTCTTCCAGCCGCTTTGAATGCATCAAATGTTGACAGCTAAGAATTTCTACTTCAAAGATAATTATTTCCATGATCAGTAAAAGTTCATGGGCATTTTTAAAGTATGGAGATATTGCCAGAGAACAGCGGCTGTATTTGGAGCTGGAAAGATTAACCAAGAGCCCAACTTAACTCAAGCAGAATTTATCCCTCTGTGACACCTCTAATGTCAGTGGTGTGAGCCCTGATAAACCCTAATGTGTATTGAAAAAGCACCAGATCTCTTCGGTAAACAACAAGCCTGGACTGTCTTTCCGTGAAATGTGTCTGCTTTTGAACATTGTTCGAGGTTTCAAACTAAGAAATTTGCAGTAATTTTCCAAGCATTCCGAGAGACACACACACAAACACAAGAAAAGGAAAAGGATATCACTTCTCTGCCAGAAGCTAATCTAAAGTTTGAACTTCCTGGAGTTTTGGACTCCAAAAGGGCTCAGGAAAGTTCCTCACAGGAGAAATGCAGCCCCTCCACTAGACACTCGACTGAGAGCAAAAAAGCAACAAGAGTGACTAAACCCCACAAGACTCACAGGAGATGAAAAAGGAACCAGATTTCACAACTTACTGTCCAATACTTAATGAAATACTTGAAGACTGTTGCAGCAATATACAAGCAATACAACAAAGAATAGGCTAAGAACAGTAGAAAGAATTTGTAGTTAGAAAATCCAATGCAGTTATTCACCCTAGAGGACAAAAGCAAAGTTGAAATCAGGATTTGTGCAGCACACGGGTTGTAACACAAAGAGCACGACCAGTTTTGGGGGGCTATTAAACCTCTGGCTCCCACAACACAACTTGTCAATAAGCAGCTCCCCTTAGTGGCCAAAATGGAACAGAACTCAAGGCTCTGCTTTTCACCCCAAGGCTTCTTGCTGGGCCAGGGCCAAGCTCAGTTCATGTTTCAGGGTTGGTACCACGGGGAAGTGTCCCAGAGGCAGCAGCTCATTCCTCATGGCTGGGTCTTGTCTGCCAAGGCAGCGGCATCTGGGAGTTCTGTGCTCCTTGGGCCACGTGCAAACCTCAGGAGCCACAGGAACATCCAGCCCAGCTCACCCAAAGTTGGGGCTGATTCTCCATGCACAGGACAACTCTAAAAAGGATCCAGGGGATGCAGGAAAACAGAGGGGGTGTTTGTCTCAGAGCTCAGGTTTGCAAAATCCTCTCCAATTTTGATTACCAGGGAGGTTCAGGTGGGGAAATGTTTGTGTTGTTTCTGATTTCTGAAATCTTCCTTTTTTTTTTTTTTAAAAAAAAAAAAAGGAGGAGTTTAATAAATTTAGTGGCAGCAATTCTCAAGAAGTGTAAAGCTCAATTCATCCGTGCAGCTTTGTGCACTGATGGTCTCTGACCAGGCATCAGTTCAGAAACAATCCACATGCAAATGTTACTCTTGAAAGCACCCCCAAGTGCAGCTGAAATGATGACAGACCCCAAAATAAAGGCTAAGGTTAAGGCCCTTTCAAATCTGAAGAATACTCAAAGATTAAATTAGCAGTTGCGGTTTAAATGATATCAATATCACAGCTTTTTCACATATAGTTTATAGAACAAACACGAATCAATTTTCAAAGTGTAATTATCTTATATATTTCCCAACATAACGAGATGGATGGTGTAAAATGAGAGAGGCATACAGAAATATGTTGCAGAAATTTATATAAACAACCTTTCTGCTCAGAAAGATGATTTAAAACAAAAAAAAAAAGAAAGGGAAGGAGAAAAGAAAGACAGGGACTCACCCTCTCACCTCCCCTTCCTTCCCAGCTCCTGATGTGCAATTCAAAACCAACCTGTGCTGTGGGCAATAACGCTGAGCCTGCAAACAGGGAGTCGTTCTGACTGAGGCTGAAGCAATTCCTGAAGAAGAAACAAAGCTGGAATCGTCATCTGTCACAGGCTGAATTTCTCCTTTCCTCCCTGGCACACCTGGCAAGCCCTAAAGCTTTGTCAAAAACCCATCCCAACCCCCCAAAGCAGCTGCTCAGGGTGACCCCCCTGCCTGCAGACAGACCCCCCAGCACTGCTGGCTGTTTGCAGCCCCTTCCCCAAGCACTGTCCCAGAGGAGCTGGAGGAACAGCTGCTGCTGCTGCTCAGTCCACACCTTCCTTGGCGCTCATGTTCCAGACACACTCACTGCAAGCTCGAGGCTGTCTCTGACCTCGCTGGACAAGGCAAATTCCCAACGTGCCTGCCAGAGCTCTGGGGGACAGAAGGTGAGAAGGGTCCCTGAGTAGACACCAGGCCTCTCTGTTCCTTGACAGGCTCCTTGCTCCACCAAACACCCAAAAACACCCAACCCTGCCTTGCAACCCCTTCACAAGGTTGAAACCCCACCCCATTGTTCAGCTCAGACAGTTCCAGCAGGTTCACAGCCCCTGAGGCTCCCCTGGCCCCACACAACATTAAACTGCTGCTGAGGGGCTCTGATCCCCCCAGGTTGGTCCCCCCCTCTTCCTCCCAACATTTCAACTTCAAATTGCAAACCTCTCTCTACGCTGGGCACTTCTCTTACCACAGTTCCGTGGCCAAACCCCTCACTCTTGGCGGCTCCTGAGCAGCAGGAACAAAAAGCTCCCACTTGTGCCTGGGCCAGGGCGAGCGCTCTGCAGACAGAAGGCTCTGTGTGCTCTCCTTCCCTTGGCAGGAATAACAACCTCGGCCACTTCAGGGGAGCTGACTGGATTAGCAGGGGAGAAAGGAAAAAAAATCAAAAAACCAGAAAGGGAAAAAGAAAAGCAACCAGGAACAACCAGAGAGGCTCGAGCATGGCCTGGTGTATTTGCAGTGAGGCAGAGCACAGGTTAGAACAAAACCTGGAGAAGGCAAAGGGATCAGGATGTGAGAAATCTAAAGCTGCTGTGGATTCCCTGCAGGTTTGATCTACTCACAGGCAGTAAATCCACGGCCCAGGCAAGGCCTCTGCTGTGCACTGGGCTGATGTGCCACATCCTCAAACACCTCCAGGGATGGGGACTCCACCACCTCCCTGAGCAGCCCCTTCCAATGCCTGTAACGTGATCAAACCTTTTAAAATACAGCTCATTTATGCTAGTTATTTATTTGACTGTGAAATACAATTCACACTGCACTTCCAGTGTGTGTGCAGGTGCTCTGTTCTTAAATGCAAGGTCTGAGGATTTATAGTTCATATATTTCTAGGAATAAGTGTAACAGTCACTATCTCCAGATCAGCACTGTGCCTTTCAGCACATATTCTACTTGCCAAAATTAACTTGTACCTCTAAGCAAGGGTTTCTCTCCTCCCCCAACATTGTCCTGTTCATCTATTTTTATTTTCTTCTCAATAATTTTCCCTCTTGCTTCACATACTTTGGTGAAGCATTGAATATTGTCACTTTTGTTTATCCTTTACCCTGACTCCTGAATTCATTTTGATTTCCACAGCTCTGGGATTATTTCTATGAGTAATCATTATGAAATTGTACTCTGCTTTTTTACAGCTGCAAGAAATAGATACTTGTTACTGTAAGTGAAGTTCATTACAATGTTATGATCACATTAAACACCTTTAATAAGAAAGAACTGAAGAACTTTAATGCACTCTAAATAAGGTATTATTTCACCTCCATGGGATGGGTCTTTTATGTCTCTTGCTGAGCTGCTTCTGTAACCTTTTCTAACTAAAAAAATATTGTGCTATCAATCAACTGACCTTGTTCTCAAGCCCTGGTTTGTTGTCTCCACAGCTCCTGGAAAAAGGCCAGATGAGGTATCTTTTAGGATTCTATTCACAAATTTCCACTGTGGTGAGTTATTTCCATTCCCAGAGCTTCTACTTCTTCGACTGAGCTGCTTCTGTCATCTTTCCAGAGTGCCAGCTCTGGAGCAGGCATTGATTTCTGTCTATCTCCAAGGAGATCCTCTGCTTCCACAGCTAAATCTGCAGAGAAACAGAGATTTATTTTGTGGCAAGCTACTTCAAACACTGTAAGTTTATAAAAGTCCTCTGTTGGCTTTCTGTGTCTATCATGAGCTCTGCTCTCCCAGTTTGGTCACTCTGGGACAGGGGGTGTCATGTTCCTGCCCACAACAGGGATGTGGGCTCTCCTTTGTTCTGTGCCTCTCTCAGTGCCTTGTAAACCATCAGTAACCTGCTATCACAGGAACTGGAATCAAAAGGAGGAAGAGAAGATAAGAACTGGAAACAAGACTGAAAGGGTAGCAGGAGGAAATAAAACCAGTAGCATGAGAAAGTTATTAAAGAAGGAAGAGTAGTTAAAACAAAATTTGCAGGGAAAATACTCATATCAAATATATTAAGTACCTTCCATGCCTGAAAAGTGTAGAAAAAATTAAAATGGTATACATTAGCACAGCAAATGGAAATGCCAAAGCTGAGTTTTTTTGCTCAGGCCATGATAATGGACTATGAACATTATTAATTATAACATTTTCCATCCAGTGCCACACAGCTGTTGGATGTCGTCTCTCCCTGTTGAATGACAAGGTTGTGATGATGCAGCTGTCTCAGGAAGGTGTTGGGAGGTTTGACAATATATGTTTGTCAGGAGATCTGCACATCTCTCTTAGAGGTGTTGGAGCTCTGTCAGATCCTGCCATACCACAGCTCAGGGTTCTGTTATCCACATGCAGGATACTCCATGTAGCTCGTGTCCAGAGAGCTCGAGAGGGTGGGAATACTGCCCACATAGCCCAGGGCTGAACTGAGAGCCTGTGCTGCAGGTCGGATCGATGCAGAAAGCACTGTATGTGCATACAAACCCTGCGTGCATGAAGGGTTTGCATGGCGAGAAATGGCAGAGACATTTGAAATCTCTCCAAAGACGCTGCCGTGCTGGCCAGGCTGTCTTTACAGGCTGCCCCACGCAGAGTCACGATTATCCCCTTCTGCCTGGTCAAACTCCCCCGTTGAGCAGAGCACGCTGAAGGAAGCAGATGCATGGCAGCCAGAAGCCCAGAACTCCTGTTTATCCCTCTGGACGATGCCACAAGGCGGCACTGTTCAGACCCGGCGCTGCCAAATGCAATCAGGATGAAGAATTAGATTAGCGCCAGAGAAATGTCGCCTCTGTCGTTTGAAGTGGATCCTGGTCAGAAGCAAAGTTGAGTATCAAAGCACAGGCTGGAGAAATCCTGCCTCATTAAAAATTGACTTTAAGCCAATTGTCCTCTTCCTTTCTGTCTGTCTGTCTGTCTATCCCTCTCCCTTGCAAACGAGCTTACAACTCTCCCTCAAGGCAAGAGCATCACTAGTTAAGCTCTGGTGGCTTTGAAGAAATCTTTATGTGATTAGAAATGGCACACAGAGTTCCAGCCTCTTCCCGGCTCTGCATGCCAATCGCATGGGAGTATATAGGCCATGGTAAACGTATTCCATGCACAGCTCCATCTCCCTAAATCGGTGTTTAATGAGGAACCACACTCTTGCTGTGTTATTGTGGCTCTAAGGAACCACGGCTCGGCTGTGCGAGCCGAAGGAGGCCGGCGAGGTATCTCCGAGCTTAGCCCGGGGAAGGGTGTGGAATGCAGGATGGGGTGGGTGCAGATGGGATGCAGAGAAATGCCATCCCACGGGCCGTGTCCACCTTCCCCTCCGGCCAGCGCTCCCTCACGGTGCTGCGGGACGGGGCTCGTCCTGGAAACTGCCGGGGCAGCTGATCCGGGGAGCCCAAACTGCACCGCCAGGGAGTGTGTGCCAGCTCGGGCCCCTCTTCTGCCTGCAGCGATGTCGGTGTCCACCGTCACGCAGGTGCCCGCGGTTGGGAAGGAGCACCTGCATGAAGTACTGACACGGAGCTGAGGACCGACATGAGCGACGCTCGCTTTGGGCTGAGGGCTCTGCGCTTCAACAGTCCAGTTTCTCAAAGAGGGGGATTTTATTTGCAGAGCCAGGACACAAACCGTCCCGAGGGGGAGACGGCTCGGAAGGGTCTGGCTGCTCCCGGATCGGCAGGGAGGCGTCTGTGCCCCTCAAGGTGCCACGGCAGGGCTGAGGGCAGTTCATTGCGGGGCACCATGTGCGGCTGGGGACCGCTCCCCTCAGGGCGCCATGGCGGGGCCGAGGACCGCTCCCCTCAGGGCGACATAGCAGGTCAGAGGACCGCTCCCCTCAGGGCGCCATAGCGGGGCCGAGGACCGCTCCCCTCAGGGTGCCATAGCAGATCTAAGGACCGCTCCCCTCAGGGCGCCGTGCCGGGTCTGAGAACCGCTCCCCTCAGGGCAGCCTCGGCGTTCGCTCTCCCGCTCCACCGCTGCCCACCGGCCGCACCAAGCAGCCTCGGCGGGCGGGAGCCGAACAGCGCTGCCGCAGAACCGCGACTGGTCCCGGCGCTGTCCCGGGCGATATCCACGACACTGCCCTGTCCCATCCAGCCATTCCGCCCCTGCTCCGCCTCCCCCTCAGGGCGGCCGGGCCCGCCCCTTCCCTGCCGCGGGTCCGCCGCCGCCCCACAATGCCCTGCGCTCCGGCCCTCGCAAGATGGCGGTGCTGGGGGCGCCGCGGGGCCTGGTGGCCGCCGCCTCCCGCAAGCGGCGGCTGCTGCTCGCCCTGGCCCTGCTGCGGCCGCCGGCCGCCGCCGCCGCCTCCTGCGCCGCCGGGACGATAGCGGGGACCGGGCGGCGGGCCCGCAGCGCGCCGGCGGGCGGACAGGTGCGCGGGGGTGGTCGCTGAGGGAAGATGAGGGGCTGGTCCCTGAGCGGCGGTCCCTGAGGGAGGGTCAGAGGCTGTCCCTGAGGGGCCGCCGGTCCCCGCTCCGCTGCCCCCCGGCCCTGTGGGCACGGCCCGGTCCGTCCTTGCCTGCCCGGAATCGGCGCCCCCTGCCCGGGCGGGCCCTGCGGGAGCTCTCTGGGAACCAGCACTGGAACCCCCCGTGTCTGTGGATGGACGCGGGGTGTGTGCACGGGGAACCCTTGTGCTGATCCTGCCGCTCTGCAGGGAAAGGGAGTTGGAGTTGGAATGCTCTCTGTCAGCTGGGCGGGCTGTAACATGTCCCAGGGAATGATTTTTTTGTTAGAAGTAAAGAATCGAGCACATATGTCAAAGCTGTGTAAGTCATAGGCGTTTTTCAAAGCAAATGAGGAAGTGTATCCCAAAGATAGAGGGAATGAACTTATCCCAGAGACTTTCCATAAGCTCTCAGATAGCTTTGGTTTCGGTTTCCTAATAACCTTTTACCTTTTGTATTCCTCAGATTAGCACTGTTTACGAGTAGCTTTTCTTTGTTGCCTCGAGTAGTTTTCCCTGACAGGCAGAATTCTGCCGGGGACTACAGTCAGCTTCATGTTGCTTGGCAGCCGAGATGGGCAGGGCTGAAGTGGTAAATTTGAGGGGTGTTTAGTTTTGAAACTCGAGCAAGACAAGAAGGTGAGAGTTAACGTTGATGCAGATCAAATATTTTACCCGTGTATTTGCATCCATTAAAATATACCTGAGTACTCAGTATTGTCCCTGTTCCTGGAAACCCATTTCAGCTGTGAGTGAACAAATAGCAGCGTTATCATGGTGATGAATAGAAGCATTAATTACATTCCTGGTTTCCTTTTGAATGTTTTTATTTTCGTGTTGGGAATGCCGGTCCTTGCTGATCAGTTTTAATTGCCACGTGTCACTAAATGTGGATTTGCTCTAGATTTTCTGGTCTGGAAAACCAAGGCTATGTCTGTGGAATATAGCTCATCTCTCTTCCCTTTAAGTGTGTAGTCATGTTTTTGTTAGAAAGTGGTTAATGAATGCATTTTTTATGGTCTGGTGATGAATTTTCAGTTCTGCATCAAGCTCTATTTGAGTGAAAATTACAATTTATAAAGTTCAGGAGCAAGGTCTTATATTTTGCTAAATGAAAATTGCCACTTCCATTTTATGGAAGTACAAGTTTGTTTGACTCTTATCTAGCAGGAGGCTGAAACTTAAGGGTTCTGCATTTTTGGTTATAATGACCTTCAAAATTTTGGGAAATTATTTTTTAAACTTTTAATTAATTTTGCTGTTTTTTCAGCTAGTTCAAGAAATACCTGTGCCTACTCAAAGGGAGGGCACCCTGAGAAGTTGGCCAGGCACTTCAGCAGTTGTATTTCAGAGTGATTAGCCATTGATTTTTATAAATTAAGTAATTCAGCAGTTAAAAAAAAACCTTATGGAAGCAAACATGTGCATCCTGGTTTAGTTTCAGTTGTTTGATTATTTTGCTGTGCTCACCCACTAACGGGGACTGTCAATATTTTCAATGGACTTGTTCCGAAAGCTTTTCTGTATATTAAAAAAAATGGGAGGAACACACCTGGGCTTGCATTTAAAGCAACTTAATCTTGCTTGCCATGGTCCCAAGATGTGTGATTCACAGTCAGTGGGTGATGAAAGCAGTGTTTTATAGGGTGCTGTGGTGACACCTCTCAGTGTGTGTATTTGAGTGTGGGGAAAGCTCTTCCCCTCTGTTACCTTCCTGGCTGTGCTGTAGGTGCCAGATATGGGGCAGAGTTTGCACTGGTTTGTTCAGTATTTCCAGGGGCAGGAAATGTGAAATAAGTGCTCCTGATCCAGCATTTTAATCCCCCGTGGGATGGGACACTGGCAGGGCCCAGCCACTTGTGGAATGCCGAGTTGGCTCTAATGGCCTGTCTTCCCTGAAGTGTTCCAGACAGGAAGGACCTTCCTGGGAGGGCAGCCCTGAGGTGACAGAGTTACACCAGTGCTTCTCACTGCTGCCAGGAAAATCAGCTCTGCCACCACAGCTGGGCTCGAATCGGTGTAACTGCACAAGTGGCAGAGGTTTGGGACAACTCAACAGTGCACTGTGCAGCTCAGCCTGGAACAGCACAGCCAGAGCTGAACTCGTGAGGATTGAAGGAAGGAAGAACTCTGGTGAAATGTGACCATACAACGTTTGACAACTTTGCTCTTTTTTGACAAAGATCATTTTAAAGACTTGCCTGTGATCTTTCTACTCTGCTTTGCATCCATGTGGTATTTGATCCCCTGTCTTCAGAGTTTCATGCTAGTCGTAGCCTTTTTTAAGCTTATAATTAATTGTAAGCTTAATTGTATTTTCTGTGGCACTTAGTGCCGTGAGAGTCAAATACAGCAGAGTTGTTTGGGTGCAGTTGCCTCATAGATCCACATCTTCCCTCTCACTTACGTTTTTCAGTACTTTTGGTTGCAGTCTTGTAACATTTGTATCCTGAAGAGTAAAACAGCTACATTTACAGAGGGCAAAGACAGGTGTCATAAGTATTGTGGACCTATGATCAGACTTTATTTCTTTATATTGAGATCAGGGTTTATTTCCATGACCACATTTCCTTTGGTTCCCTCTCCTGCAGTTGGAGTAGACAGGAATTCATCCTGTCAAAACTCTGTGTGTTGAATTTGGGGTCTCTGCTGAGTAGGGAATTGGCATGTTGGCTCGATAAACTATGATAAGTAACCAAACAATTGCTGTGGATTTTTTTTTTCCTAGGAAGCTTGTGGGGTTTTATTTGTTTGCGTTTTTTGCAGAACAGTTTGCCTGTATCCAAAATAAAAACAATCTAAATATGGCAGTTAAATGAATCTAAAAATTAGTTAGATGAGTTTGAATGAGCTAAATGGAAAGAAAATTTGACTGGAAAGGTCCAACACCCTTTGACTAAGGATAATTATTTTGCTAGGAATCTGTCTAAGTGAAGAAATACACTGAGGAGTTTCAGGGAGAACTTTGGCAGTGGCAGAAAGCAGGGCTGTGTAAACTATTGTAACGGTAAAAAGTAAAAGAAACTTTTTTTCTTCTTTGCATTATCTTGCCCTTCCAGCTGCCAGTGATAAAGAGCATGTTCTTCTGCATAACTTAATATTCTCCCTTGCTCTGGAAGGGCTTCTAAGAGAAGTTTCAGGTAGTTCTGTTAATTTTATTTATATTTTGCCCATGTTTTTTATTTATTTATTTATTTTTACCTGAAGTCTGATCTGCTTTGTAAAATTATACTGCTGTTTATTGTCCAGACATTTCATGTGTTGGTGTGTGTTGCTGAGTTCTCTTCTCTAGACTTTGAAGGTGCAGTTGACCAGCACAATGCCTGGCAACTCTAAACCATGTGTCTCTGGTAGCCAGCAGCCTTCACTGACAGATCTGAAGCTTCTTGAATTTTAAGATCCCTTGATAGAGGAAGTATTTCTGTTGAACCATTGTTAAATGGAGCTCCAGTTAAGTTTATACAGTTCATATTGGTGACAGTTTAGTCTAGCTTTATACCAGAATATTTTCACCTTTTCTCTCATTTTCCTCCGCTCATAATTTCTTTTCTTGCCTTGCAAACTCAGCAAAATTAAATGTGGGACTTGAACTCTGCAAGGGGACTTGAATCCCACCTTCAGCTATGTTTGCTGTTACAGTTAATTTAAAAAAACCAATCCCCATCAGATGAGTGCAGCATGCCTGGAACAGTACATATCATATTCCAGAGGGAACCTTTTAAATGTGGATTTGACCTTGTGCAAATGTGTTTTATCCCTGTTGCTTGTTTGCATCTGTAGTATTTAAAGCTACTACTCACAGTCATGGCACTTTAGCAACATGACTTTTATGTGCAGTCAGTGCTAGACATCTGTTTCATTCTTTAGAGTTTATAGAATCATATCCAAAAATGCATTAAAAGGGCATGATGGTGCTGAGTCAGGCACTGAAAGTTAGGAAATGCTAGGATTCAGGTTCCCTGCATAATGTCAGAAAGGCAGAAATAAGCAGGACTCTCTCCTGCTCCTCTAAAGAAATAACCTGCTTCTTTGATCTGCTATGATAAGATTCAAGTATGGCTTTTCTTTGTAGTCCTAAATCTCTTGGGGAAAAAAAACACAGTGAGGAGAGTGGAGTTGTTTTCCTGCAGCAGGTGTGGAGAGTGGCAGGGAAAGCTCCAGCCTCGCTCCTCTGGGCACTTTTGCTGTCAATACTCTGGTGGTCAGAGGGATTATCAGTGAAGTCAGTTGTTCACCTTGTTTAATTCTTTATTTCTTCACTCAGATTTGATTTTTAGGAGGAGACGGGAGAGGATTGAAACTTCCAGGCTCAATTTTGCAAATAACCCAGTGGCAGTTCCTAGTTTCAGTCAAGGAATTGGGCTGTTTCTCTAAAGCAGGATTTGAGACCAGATCTGCTGGTGTTTCATTACAAACTGGTTCTGTGATGTTGTTTGCCTCCTACTTCAGTCAGAAGGGAACCTTGATATCCTTTGAGGTCAAAGGATGTGAATTATGAGTAACATGTTTTCCTGATGTCCTATGAGTAAACTCCAGAAGGACAGTAATTAACTTCTTTCCACTAACTGTTGGAGCATTATAATTTTTCTATGATATTTTCTGTTCATGTCACTGTTCTTGTGGAGAGTGTCTTGGTTTAGATGGAATCCTCTGTGCTGACACAAAGCTGTAAGGTTGTGAGTGTATCTACAATGAAATGCTTTACAGATGCTGCTCCTCTGTTTTACCCTGGTCTTGGGAGCATCAGGGCAGTTCACCCAGCCCAGTTAGGTCTGCTAAGGGCAAAATGTGAGATTGGGATGCTCACTTTTCCTCTGTGTATAACGCCACACAATGGAATTGTTTGGAGTAAGCAGATCACACATGGTGGTGACTTGTGCAGGAAAGGTTTTAATCTTCTTTAAAATTGTAACTTAGGATATGTGTCATAGGATAAGAGCAAAGGAATGTTTAAGGCAAGAGATCAGATAGATGCCAGTGCTGCTGTTTGTCAAGGTTAAAAATGCTTTCTTATGCTCAAGTTCCTTTTTTCCCCTTTTTGCCATTTGTCCTTTGCCGTGGGCTGGGGAGCACCATGTGTCTGCTTTGCTCTGTGGTGGTGATTGTTACACAGTGGATGGGTAATTCTGTAACAGAGCAGTCAAAGATTTACTACTGACAGTGTCAAAGATGATGTGGCACCATCAGTGCTGACCCTGTGTCTTTGCCACCAGGGAAGCAGTGCCAGTTAGTCCATCTGAGGAGAGTAAATGGTCCTTTGGAACATGGATTGCCTTGCAAGGTAACATGTAGAGCATGGCACAGTACCAGCAGTCTGTTAAGGTTGATGGATCTGTGAATATTGGGTATCTTGTGCCCTAATAACCTCAAACTTGTTGCCAGCCCTGCTCCAGTTTCTGACAGTCCCAGTGCTTCCCAATCCAGAGCTGTAGCTTTGATTTGCCTTGTGGAGACAAGCATGGCATGAACTGAGCCAAGAGGAATCGGGAATGGCAGAACCTATAAGCATAAAAATAACATTTCATGATGAAAAACGGAACAATAGACTGTTTGGAAGAGGTCAAAAGACAAGCTGGGAGAAAATGAAAATGAGACGAAAGGGAAAACTTTGGGCATTCATGGTGCAAAAGAAACAGTCTGATGGGAGTGTGGATTCAGGGAAGGGAAAGGTTCATTGTCACTAATGGAGTTTATTTTACAGCTGCTCCCCACCAGTTTGCTTTTTCTGTGGTCAGTTGTTAAAAAACAAAGCCATCTGCCTTCTTTTGGTGTTATGCTTGTTTACATGAACCTGATGAATATTCTGTGCCTGTGAAATGCATGTTCTGCAGGACTCCATTTTCACTCCTTTTTCTCCGTTTTTGTTCTGTAGATCCCACCCATTTGCAGGCAAAGATCGTGGCAGGGCCTGGCAGGGGATTACTCAAGGCCATTTCTGGAGCCTTCAGAGGTGGGTGCAGTTGGTTCTTTCAGTTTAATCTGCTGGTTTGGTTGTGGTTTTTTTCGTAATTTCACTGTTTGTGGTTCTGAAGTGCAGGAGGTTAAATGGCAAGGTGTGTTTCTACCCCTAGAAGTCTTTCTGAATCTTTAGAAACTAATATTACAGTAACTTTGAAAGAAGAGTCCTTAAAAATGCAGGTCTTGTGTGTTGATACTTGAATTCACATTGTCAAGCATGGGAAATACCCAGGTAAGGGATACCCAGGCACAGGAGATTGAGTTTTCCTTGAGTGTGCAGGGCCTTATTACTTTAAAATTCTGCTTAGGTTGTAGAATATTCTCATTACTGAATGCCAGGATATCAGGCTCTTACCCCTGGGAGGTCTGCTTGCCTTAAAACTAGTGCAAACATAAGGAAGGTGCAATTTTTGCAGTTCATGGAATAATTATGACACATAATGAAGCTAAGAAATGTATTTATCTTGCTTTTCTTTTTGGTTTTTAATTATAAAATAATAACCTCTCACTGGTTATCACAGAACTGACTTAAGCAGCTAAAATCTTTTGAAGGTCATTGGGGCTTCAAAGCATAAAATCTGCTTAGATTATTTTTTATAATGTTTTTCTTTAAAATGTGAAAAGTCACATTTTGATTTGGGAAACCCTGGGGTCTGCTATCAACCAACAGACATCAAATGGGATTCCTAAAGAGCTCTTACACAACTTGAACCTCAAAATTGTCAACAATGTAGCAAATCTTTCAAACAAAATGGGGATCACTTTCGGAAAAGCTTTACCACATCCACTGTTCGTGGCAGGCACTTGGAAATTGAACCTGGAGAAGTGCCTGGTGGTTGGGAGTTGTTATTTTTTAGTGCATCTCCGTGTGGGAATAAATTCCGAGCTTTCCTCTGCGGAGTCTTGACCACATGCTGAGAGAAGTGGGCATTTGTTTTTAACAAGCAGGTTCTTTTCCAGACTGCCCCTGTACATGGATTGCAGCAGGGGCTCTGGGCTGGGATAATTTGTACCTGACTTACTGCACCAATAGGCCATTCCCATCCTGGGAGGAAAGAGGAGTGTAAGGTGCATTTATCTTATTTATTTTGCCCGCAAGTAAAATTACTCTTATGTACATGGAAAGAGTATTATTGCTGAAATGTGTTCCACTTCAGATAAAGTGCCTTCAGAAGGCACTTTAATGTGCCTGAGAATGGTTATCCCCCAAAACTTCAAGGTTTTTTTCTATGTTCTTCAGTCCATTTTCAATTTTTAGGTGTCCTTTTAACTGAAATATTTAAGGGTCTGTTGTCTTTACCTCCTGCCTGCTTGGAACGTGCTCTTTGCTGCCAGAGTTATAGTCCCTTTCTTATTATTGTTTCCTTAAGCAAGGCAAGGATTTTAGAGAGAGGGAAAAATCTTGACTAAAGCAAGCTGATACAGATGGAGGATGGGGGAGGGAAAATGGACCAGTAGTTGCTCTTTCTGTTGGCTTTTATGTGCCCGTTTCCTGAGGTTCTTGCAAATTGACTCTTCATTTTCACCCAGATCCTGCCCAGGTGGCGACTGCTAGAGAAGAGGATGTGTTGGCACGGCCATGCAGGTGGAGGGCTTCACACAGACCCAAAGGAAGGGGTAAAACATGGCTTTGTTACTATTGCTTTTTAAATAAAAAATGTTATCAGCAACAATCTGTGCAAAACTGTATCGGTAGATATGTGAGTGGTGCAGTGGAGTAGGTGCAGTTTAATTGTCAATGTAGACTTGCTAACTCTTAAATCACCAAATGTTTGTAATAACTGTTCAAGGGCTTAATTTGTTTTATTAAAAATACAATTTAATGTTACACCCCCCTTTGAAATTGGCCTGTGTTATGTAAAATTCTTTTGATGGAAACTATGTTCTAATATTTTACTCTGGTTTGCTCCTTTTGTTTGTGACTTGACATTCAGGGTAGTAGAAATCAGCTTGTGGGTACCAGTCAGTGCACCAGTTGGTAAAATCACACTTGCAGTAGGAGGGGAGAGTAATTGAACTGTATATATTTTTACTTGGATTTAATATTAATGCATCTGTTATATTTTGATTGTATTTCTATTCAGGGGGCACACATTAAAGTAATGATGGTGGTATGTAAGGAGAAGAAGTATCTTTTATTAGCCCAAATGATTCCAGTTAGAGGCAGCTTTGGGTTAGAGCAACATGGGATCAACCTGTGTGATTAAAATTGCCAAAGCAAAGCTCTTGTGTTTACCTAAGTTTGATCTTCTCATTTCCTGGGCAAACTTATCTCTGGTGCTTTGTGTGTTTGCAGAACGGTTCTGTGTGATGGGTATAACTTGTTCAAACTCGGGTGGGATCTTCCTAAAATTAGTGAGGACCACCTTGAGGACAAACTGAGTCTTCAGTGCGGGGTCTTTCAGAGCTTCTTTGCTGATATTTAAGTGCTCTGAGGATGCCTTTCCTACAGCCTCATTTGTAAAGTAACTGAAAAGTTATACCTAAATTTTCCTCTTAAATTTTCATCTCAGAGTTGTCCCTTCATTGAATTCCAACCTGTTTGTGTCACAGGCAGAAGTCAGGAGAGGTGTGTGTTTTATAGTAAGAGGGAATTTCATAACCTGAAGTGCAGCCAGCTTGTTTTGGCAAACATCTGTGATCTTTTCTGCACGAGGCACGGGGGGCAATGGAATAATTGGCCATCTCCAGTCAGGGGCACCACTGGCTCTGCATGTAACATTAACTTCAGACTCGTTTTGAGGCCCTCCTTGCCACAGGTATAGGCTCTTTTCAGAGACATCCTAGGAAAAACAGACTTCAAAGCTAGCAGGTTATCCTTCTTTCTTTCACATTTACATTTCAGGGGTTTCTCTGCTCAGAAAGGAAATGCAAAGTTCAAAACACTAGTAACCTTAAGGAATCCTGGATGTTCCTTAACTTTAGAACTCACTAGGAATAGGTTATCCAGAAATTTTGATGCCAGGTGATATTTTTTTTTTAGTTTACTGGGCAATGTAAATATTCCAGTGGCATTCTCTCTTCACTCATTACTTGCAGCTATTCCTGTGTAAAGCAATTCCCTGAGGTTTTTATTCCAATAAAGGATGGTTAATGCAGGACATTGCCGGTTAAGGCAGTTGTCCAACTACACAAACATCAGCTGCTAGGATTGTCCAGGAGAAAGCAGCAAGAGTTGTAGAAGTTGTAAAATGTGTAAAAAGTGGAAGAAAAAACAAAATAAGATTGTGTGCAAATGCCAGGAGCTTCTCAGCAAGTATCAAGGGAAGGAAATCTGATATTCCAAGTGCAGTTCTTGTATTTCATGTATACATGTACTTGTATTCAGTGCATAAAAATACTGGTGCCCAATTTACCCATTTTCCCCTGGGACTATGCTTTTAGGAGAAGTGCAGGTGATACCCATGTCAGCTGTATTACAGCTTTCTTTATTCCAGAATGGCTTTTTTGCCAAACCAGCCTGTCCTTTTGGAATCTGACTTTGGGAGTGATGTTTTAAATTGCCCCTTTTGTAGCAGCTGCAGGGGTACAGAACTGAATACTGAGGGTAAACACAGAGTGAAGGGCATGGAAACCAGCACTGTTCTTTACCAGCTTTGGGGGTTGTGTGTTAATCTTTTGTACACAGAACAAGACAGGAATGAAAACTGGGACCTGGCATGATGCTAAGCAGACATACATTCCTTTCTGATGGAAAGGCTGGTGATGAGGATGGAACCCTGATAACCATTTCACTCAGCTGCTCCTTAGTTTTTGGTTATCACTTACTTTCTGTGGAGGGGAGGGATAGTATGAAGACAGAGGACTAAGTGCCTTTTCCCCCAAAGTTTGGAAGGAAACTCAGGCCCTGCTTTGACATTTATTTAAGCTGATAAAGCATCTGAAACAAGAATCCTCCCCCACCTTGGTGTTCTGCTCTGTGGGTCACAGTGTGGTCAGGCAATGACCAGTGTGAAGGGATGGAGACTGGGAAGAGGAATGAAAACCTTCTTTTTCCCCCATCTTTAGGTGTTTCAAAAGGTCCAGAACCTTCATAGGATGGGTAGAGGGGACAGCAAGATGTTCAGTGCTCTTTCTTTTGCCACTAGTTTTCAGTGTTTGGGAGTGTTTTGAAAACATGCTGCATTCAAAGAGAGGAAAAGACTTTTCTTCTTTGCTCCCTGCTGGATTAGGTTTATAATACCTTTCCTTCCACTCCTTCAATCTCTGTAGAGAGAGACCTTGAAAGGAAATGTAAAACATTACTGCCATTTAAAAGGAGGTAAAATAAATGCATCTCTTAACCTTTTTATATACCTCAGAGAATCAAAAAAGGGCCTGAGTCCATTGAACAGATTGCTCATTTTAATTCTTAATGTTGCCACTTGCATATTTAAACAATTTTTAACTCATGTTTCTGTACAACAGTAACATTTATTTCATGGTAAACTTTGATGTAATATGTGTGCATTTTGCATCCTTTGATATTTCTTCTTGTTCCTTTGCAAGGCCTTTGGCAAATGACTGGCTGCCTTCTGACTTTTTTCTGAACAGATTTACTTCTGTCACCATTCAGAGCCATGAAAAAAGGAAATAGATTCCTTGTTTGCAGCCAGTGTATTTTGTTCCTTTTAATAGGTTTTCTGTGCAAAGTCTGCCTAGCCAATAGCTACATATAATTAGAACTGCTCTGATTGCAGCAGCATCTTTTGTGTTAATGTAATATCAATTTTTTTTTAACTTCCTTTTAACCTGTAAGTGGTGATCAAAGATGTTTTCCAAATGTTTGAACTGCTTTTTATGCATATCCATGGCTCCCATGGAAAGATCCATATGTATGCTGCAGCAGATACCTCCATCTCCTGAGTGGGTCAGACACTTTCTCATCCTCTCCCCACTTACAAATCTTCCGTATATCCATTTTCTACCCATCATTTGAGATGTGCTTATCCTCTGTAATGCTCCAGTTCATTTGCAGTTGTTGACAAAATGCCACCTTTGCTCTTCTTTGAAGCTGTGACTGGAAACACTGAGATGAATTGCCTGGTGCTTTTAAAAGCTTGTTTTTATAGGATTGGCTTCCCTGGTTGCCTCAGCAATTTTACCTTTTAACAGACCTCTCCATTCTTGCTTATTCACCCTGGACCTTAACAGAGTATTTCTATTCTAATTTAGTTTATCCTCAAGCTTTAAGATACATTCTAAAGACTCCTCATTTGTACTGACTTCCATCATGAAGAATCACCTTTAAAAGGTGTTGCACTAATTCTGGTTCCCATCTGTCCCCCCCAACTTTAAAATATTGCCTGAAATGGAGAGATTAGCAGCCCTTGCTGCCCTCCCTTCAGTTTTAGATAACCCTTGTTTCTTTTCAAGTTAACCCCAGTGCAGCCAACCCAGAAAAGCAAGTTGTTGCTACTTGTTCTTTGTTACTTCATGTTCTCTTACTCTTGATTAGGAAATGTGGTTTAGGCTGCAGAGAACTGAGCTCATGAGTTTAGTGGAATATATCTCAATATATGCCAGTGATACTGATGTCTGTCCATCTGGAAAATAACCTCCATTTCTGTAAAAAAATACAACAACAACAAAAAATACAACCACCACAGCACAACTTCAACACAAACCAAAAAAGGAATATTTTTCAAGATGGTTTGTTAACTGGGTTGTGGCCTTTAGAGCCAAGTTTGAGGTCTGGAGGAGAACTGAAGAGTTCAGTTAAAACTGATGTAATCAGTGAAGCCGACGTGTGGCCATGGACATCACCTGCCTCCAGAATCCTTATTGCCCAATGTCAGGGAATGTTCTCCACTCTACTTAGGTTTATTGTAGACCTTTCAGACCTCCATCTTGCCTTAGGTTTTTCTGTTGCTTCATTGATTTTTTTTCTTTTTTTGCATTTCCCTCATGTTGTTTCTAAGCTATTTTAAAACTTCTTTCAAGAAGAACCAACAGGGCCTTGCCTTTCATACAGAAATTTTGAGAACATAAAGAAGGGTCGGTTTATTTGCTCTGTGAGGTATTTCAGAGTGGTGAATTGTGGCTCTCTGTATTCCAGTTCCAGCCAGCTAAACTGGCACTCTGGAGAGCACGTGAATTAAGAACAACTCACCAGCTTTAGCAGCACGTGATGGATATAAACATACAAACAGCTTGAGATTTTAACGGGCAGTCCTGCTCTCAAACATTCTGAAGTGCCTGTTGCCTATCCAATAAAACACAGAAGAGATGTAAATACATAAAATTCCTTCTCATTTGTGCAGTTGTTTTGCTTCCTGAGGGGGGTGTGTTTGCCAAGTGCCTTTGCTCTCTCCCACAGCTGCGGGAGATCGACGCCGGGAAGATCGTGCGGGCGATGCTGTCGTACGTGTGGCCGCGGGACAGGCCGGACCTGCGCGCCAGGGTCGTGCTGTCCCTGGGCTTCCTGGCCAGTGCCAAGGTGAGAACACACACCCTCTGTCACACTCACTGCTCATCTGCACAGGGGCTGACTGGCTGTCTTGTATTTAAGGCATTTACGCTCTTAGGATGTCCCTTCCCTGTGCGAGGTGCGTATAGTGCTAAAAATAACAGCTTGGATTTCTGAACGGGCTGTGTCTGCAGGGGATGTGTGTTTAGGGAGAGGATGGGGACAGCCAGAATTTTTATTTCCATTGCTTTATTTCTGTTCCATTAGGTTAGCCCAGGATTTTCCATTGCTGATTAAGCTGGATCTCAGGGAAAGGTTCTTCCCCTAGAGGGTGGTTGGCACTGAACAGGCTCTCCAGGGCAGTGGGCACAGCCCCAAGGCTGCCAGAACTCCAGGAGGGTTTGGAGGATCCTCTGGGGCACAGGGTGGGACTCTTGGGGCTGGGTCTGTGCAGGGCTGAGGGTTGGACAGGATGGTCCTTGTGAGTCCCTTCCAGCTCAGCACATCCTGTGATTCTGTGAATCATTTACCTCGGAGATCACAGGAAGCTGAGTTAAAGGTTGCCTACAGACCTTCTTGTGTGATGCTGGATATGTCAGACAGGATTTCTTCAAGGCTCTGTGTCCATTCTCAACCCTGAACTTGAGCAATGTGGTGGTACCTGCTCACAGCTCTTGCTTTTCCTATGGAAAAGGAGATTTGACCTACAGTCCTTTGATATTCCTCTATGAGATGACAGTGCAGTTTTATTGGTTTTAATATGAAAGAAGCTGTGTAACTAATGTTGTGTGTTTAAGAACCTTGCTTTCATTCAAGTGATTTTTCTTGTAGCCTTGATTGTGAAATGGAGGGTTGCTCTTACCTGTGCTCTTGCCTGCAACAAAATCAGTGTTCATTTGTTCTTACAAAGAATTTGGCATGCAAAAGCTTCCTGCACATTAATGGAGGATATATTTCAAATTTGGTGCAAACCTTTTAAAATAGTTCAGAAGTGCAAATGTTAACTTCGTGCCAAAAAAATTCTTACTGTAAAAAAAAAACCAAACCAACAAAAAACCCCAGGAAATAATTTGATTGCAAAATATTGGGAGAAATTTTGTGAGTTCCATTGAGGCATCCAGGCTCTAATGGGTTGCTTTGAAGTATGGTAATTTTTACCCAACATAGAGCTAATCTTAGTGGCTTGCTGAGCCAAAGCAAGTACTACTTGGCAATGAGTTGTAGCACTTAGCTCATGGCATTGGCAACTTAGGAGCACTCAGCACCATTGCCATGTTGTGAAAAGAGAGAAGAAACAAATTTCAGCTGTTGTGGGTGTTAAAAGAGGAGTACTTGGGAGAGAAATGTGCTCCTCTATTTGAGCTGCAGAGGAAAGTCCAGTCCTGTGGTGTGCAGCTCTTTCTCAAGAGCTGGTTATCTCTCAGGTACTCGTGGGCACTGTCCACAGCAGATATTGTGGGTTGTGCTGCTGTTCAGGACGTTGCTGATAATGCAGGTGATGACATGCAGAATATGGCAGGTCTGTGCAAGAGAACTTCTCCCCTTTTTGTGTCCTGTGCAAAATACACAGCAATGCTTTCCATCAGTTAAAAACCCTTGGGGAAACTCTGCTCCAAATGCAGGTGCCTGAGGTTCTATAATGTAGATTTACCAGGTGGATATGAAAATTCTTCTAGCTCTTTTTAAAGCCTCTTTTTAGTAATGTTAATAATAATAAACTGAAGGCAGTTACTAAATGTTTGAAGTCCTCTTTTCTTCTCCCCCCCTTCCCTAATTTATAGTGTTATATGAATATGATGGAGAACATGAATCCAGCATCTAATCCTACCTTTAACAAGTCTATTTAACCTTACCTTTAACAAGTCTATTAATGTTTCAAGCAGCTTTCTGGGGTGTTATGAAAACAAAATTGATGAGCAGGATGCCTGCAAATAGCTCTATATTTGGTGTAAAACAGAATTATTGTATTTCTACTGGGAGAGAGAGGTGTTTCCCCCATCAAAAAATCAAACACCTAATTACCCTTTGGGGAAGTAACTGGATGTTTGGATCTCTTAAATATTCTCTTAAATTTCCCACTTCAGATTTGTACAAGGCAGCCTGGAAGCTCTGATGTCCAGAGCAGATTCCCAGAAGCCAAGCAGAAAACCTGTTGAGCTTTGCCCAGGTTTTAGGAGATGCTTGTTAAAGCCAAAGTGTTTTGTGAGAATGTTTGTTTTGGCAAGTAAGAATTTCATTGGGAAAACACATAGCAAGCTCTCTGTGGAAAATATAGATTATAACTGGCTGGAGTGAAAAATTTCATGGATGTCTTCCATCTGTCCTTTGCTCCTGATCTTTGTTTTGTTCTGTCATTACAAAGCTGTGCTGAACATCTGCAATTTAAACAGTTACCCCTCGTCTCCTGAGCTGAGCTCACTCTTACTCTGTGGAAAGAACTTCTCTTAAATTGCTTCAGACTTCACACGTGCTAAGTGTGTGTGTAGTGATTGTGACGTAACAGAGCTGTGGTAAGCCTGGCATATCTCTGAGCCCTGAGCGTCTGCTGCTCTTGCAGAGCAAACAAAAGGTCACTGTGTCCTCAGAAAAATGAAGTACAGGGTAGTTTACCTGTGGCTTTCCTGGACCGTGTGTAATTCTGTGAACTTTCCTCACTGTGCCGTTTGGGAGCCCTTTGTTCTGGTAGCTCGTGAGGTTAATTACAATGCACAGACCACACGAGCAGTTCGGTGAAGTTTCTCTGCAGTTTAATTGTGTCACCACAAGAACACCAGCACGTTCTCCTCCTCACTGCATTTCTTTGTTCACTGTGGAACCAAGGGAATCCTGGATGTGAAGGATTTGTTTAAAGGCTGCTGCTCCTGAGGGGTTTCAGAGAGAACTGTGTGATTGTGATGACTCTACCAGTCACCTGCCCTGGTAAGAAATACTTCTGTAAGCCTTTGGGCCGTTTTCTTCTGAGTTTGACAGAAGGCTTTGGGGAGGTTTTATACCTCTCTGTTGATGAAGTTAGGTTTCCAGTTAAAAGACAGAAGCTGTAGGGTGGCCTCAGTTTTATTCTTAGAAAACTCCAGAGGAATAACAGAGGACAGGTAGGTTATAAAATTCCCAGCCCCAGGAAAAATATTAGGAGTTCACACCCTGTTTGATTTGGTTACTTCCCCACAAAACAGCTGGAGATCGTTCCTCCTTTTCCTGCTGTTTGAGAAATAATTTGTCTCTTTAAATCTTCCAGTTCAGTAAAATTCACTTTCCAAACAAAAGCCAGTTTGTGTGCAGCTACTACTGAAGAGCCTGCAGTTACAATCTGTCTTGACTCCCTTTGTGGGGCCCAGTTGCCTGTCATTGAGCAAATGATTGTGATTTTTGGTTCCTTTTTTGTCTCCACGTAACCGCTGGTGGGATTGCGAGCCTTCAAAGCCAGCTTTTAGTCTGGCTTTTTATGACAGGATGGAGTCTGCTCCGGGGCTAGTGAGGTCCTTTCTTCCTTGGAAGATTTGTTGTATTATTATGACACGCTTTAAATTTTTACCTTAAATATTTATAGCCTGTGTAGACGTGTGTGTGTGATCTGCAAGATGCCAGAGGAAGGCAGGTGAGAGGAGTACACAAGGCAGTCTCTGTGTTGTCAGACACCAGAATTAGCCTGCTCAGGTTTGCTAGATCTCATTTTTCTCTCTCCCATGTTTTGTCTTCTCGACTGAGGTGTGTATAACAAATGCTTCCTTTACTTTTCTCTTTCATCCCTTCTTCTTGTGTGGCTGCCGAGGAGCTGGGTTCAACACATGAGTATGACAAAAATCACTTGTCACCTCTGTCAGCCTGCAGTGGTTTTTTGGCCTGGTGGTCACAGACCAGGCTTGTGTTATTCATGAGCCAGAGAAGTCTTCCAGACTATCTGCATTTCTCCTGACTGCTAATTCAGGAGCAGGGATGGCTTGGCTGAGGAGGCAGGACACAAGGGTGGAATTACAAATTTCCACTGCGTGCAAAGATAACAAAATCTATCTGATCAGCGAAGCTTGTGCTGTGATCTGGGTGTCTGAGCCCTTTCTGGGGGCTCAGGTGGAGTTAGATAATTGGAATAAACCTTTAGCTTTTCGAGAAGTTTCAGGTGAGAAGTATTTAAAATTGTTGGTTTTTTTTTCTTACTGGAAAAAGTCTAGTTCAGGTCATTTAAATTTGAAGAATCTCTGAAGTCAGGTGCTTCTTCCCTCATCTGCACCACATTTTACAGCTGCTTTAGTAGCCTCTCTCCCACAAGGGGTGTGGAGATTTCTGTTTGTACCTCCCCAAAGGGAGCTGCTGGATGTGTACCTTTATATTGGAGCAGAGATAAATTCAGTCATCTTCATGTCAACGTTTCTCATTGAATTATTGGCAGAAGAAGAGTTCACTGTGTACCAGTTTTATCTTGTTGGGGCTCAGCCTGTCACTAATTCATCATCTTTATTAAACAAGAAACACTGGGAAGAGCTGTTTGCCTTAAAAGTAGTGTAGTCCCATGGGGGACTAGAGATGATGTTGCACTGTCAACTTAAAACAGTGCGGTCATTAAAGACAATGTTTGAACCCATTTAAGGATGATTCATTACAGTGCAACCTGCTGCTAAATGTGGGCAGTTGAGCTGGGGTGACTTCATGGGTGCTGTATTTGCTTTCCAGTAAATTCAGGCGAGGATAAGCTATTAATTCAAACCCAGAAATAGAAAATGTACAAATTCATATTAAAAGAGTCTCTGTAATGGGAATTGTTATCAAGCTTTCAGGCATTAGGCAGAGGAGGGATGCCTGTATAGATACATTGTGTAAGACAATTGTTTTTCATGGTAGATTTTCACAGTCTACCAAGGTGTGCTTAAAGCTTTTTGTTCTGTGCCAGCAAATCTAGAGAGAGAAATGTGAATTTATGCAGAAGGCTGAAATTTTGTTTCCATTACTGTGAACGTGATCTCATTGACTTAACAAATGGAGTAGGAAAGGCCTGTTTCTAATAATGGCCTCTCATTTCTTGCTATAAACTTTGTAAGATTAACTTTTTTCTTTTTTAAATGACTGGAAAGCAGACTGTCTTGATTGCTAATGAAATGCAATACCGTGCTGCCTTGTTCTTATTCAAGCTTTACCCTCCAGGAGTCAGAACAACTATAACCTGAGACCAGGCTTTAAATTTCATTTAAAACTCTATTGGGAAGAATTATATCGATGTAAAAGAAGACATTTCTGCAAAATTGTGGGCTGTTACTGGTGAAATTAATTGTGAGTGGAGAACAGCAGTTTAAAGAATACATCTCTTCTCTTTAAATGGACTTTAAAATATATCTGTAGTTGTATTTCAAAACTACCTGTAGCTTAGTGTAGTCTGGTGAAGAATAAAATCCCTGCAGAGAGATTTGTGAGAATCTGCAGCAAATCAAGACAGTCTGCATTACAATATTCTTATTTTCTCCTGAGAAGTCTCTCCCAGGAAAACCTGTTCTTTGTCATGTTGCTTGTCACTGGAACACACATTTTTGTTTATACTGGGGAAGGGAGGGGGCATCTGAGACTTCCACAACTCCAGTCTTTTAAAAATGGAGCTGTTACTGAAGGACTCTCAGGCTGCCCTGGGGACATTCCAGAGGGATGTGTTTGAGGTGGCACCTGAGCTTTCAGCTGGTTCTCTTTTCAGTCACAAACTACCCAGCAACAACCTCGCCCAGGTGCCCTCAGATCTCATCGGTCTCCTCTCAGGAGTACTCTAGATTATGCTGTACTGAGAATTTGGAGGTGGGTTTTTTTAGTGTATTTCATAGGAGAGACACAGGGAGAAAGGAGAAAATGGATTCCTTTCTCATTTGCCTTTAAATCTTTTGCCTGAAACACTGTCTAAAAATTTAACAGCACAAATTCCAAAAATTAACTTTTTTTTTTCTTTCGTGCTATAGTTTACAAAAATTGTCAAAACTCCAGTTACTCCCTGTGTCTTATTGGTATGAATTGGTGATGTAACAATGGAACATTAACAAGATGTGAGAATTTTATGTTTCCTGGAAGGTTTTCAGTCTTTTTTTGTGCTGCATCACACAAATAAAAAAATCCTAAAGTTGGTGTGTTCACATATCCAGCTGTTTGGGTTTTACAAGCAGGGGGGACCCCTCTATTAGAGGAGATGTGTTTGGGGTTTGCTGCTCTCCCAGGGATGTGCAGTGAGGGACAGGCTGAGGATGTGACTTGGGCATTTTGTTTCAAATCTCCTATTTTTAAAGCAATTTGTGGTTTCCTGTAGACTGTACAGAAAGTTGTTTGTGCTGCTGTGCCAAACCCCAGGCTTGGTGTAGATAATGTTTATAGTGATGTTGCAAATGGAAAGCATCATTTAATTCCAAGTTGGTGTTAACAGTCAGGGAGAATGTTGTGCTGGAAGTAAAGAGCCATCCACCTGCACGAAGTGTTTGAGGACTAAATAAAACAACAACAGAGCAGTTTCACAAACAACAGTCATGGACACTGAGATGTTTTAATGCATGTGGACTAATTGTTGTTCTCGTGCTTTCAGGCCATGAATATCCTGGTTCCCTTCATGTTTAAGTATGCAGTGGACAGCCTGAACCAGGTGTCTGGGGACGTGCTCAACCTCGGCGATGCCCCCAGCACGGTGGCGACCCTGGCGACCGCTGTTCTCGTGGGCTGTGAGTGACATTCCCGAAGCTGGGGGGTGGGAATGTCCTTCAGGAAGGGAGGGAACAGCAGAGCTTCTGACCTTTGCACTGCTGAGCACAGTGGAGGGTTATTTCATGGATCCACAGAACAGTTTGGGTTGGAAAGGACCTTAAAGCTCATCTCATTCCACCCCCTGCCATGGGCAGGGACACCTTCCACCAGCTCAGGTTGCTCCAAGCCCCATCCAACCTGACCTTGGACACTTGCAGGGATCCAGGGGCAGCCACAGCTGCTCTGGGCAACCTGTGCCAGGGCCTGCCCACCCTCACAGCCAGGAATTCCTTCCCAATGTCCCATCTCACCCTGCCCCTTGTCCTGTCCCTCTATCCCTTGTCCCCAGTCCCTCTCCAGCTCTCCTGAGCCCCTTTAGGCCCTGCAAGGAGCTCTCAGGTCTCCCTGGATCCTTCTCTTCTCCAGGTGAATCCCCCAGCTCTCCCAGCCTGGCTCCAGAGCAGAAGGGACTCCAGCCCTCATAGCATCAGAACTATTTCATAGTTGCTCTCTGTTGATGTCTGTTCCCAATATTCTCTGACCTTGCTTCTGGTTTTCCAATTAAAAAATGAAATAATGCTTACAGAAATTATTCTTGATTAAAAATCCTGCCCTTTCTCATAACCAGCTGCAAAAGAAACTGATTTAAATGTGCACACAATGATTTGTAAATGAAAAATTGCATAAAGCTTGGACCGATTAAGTATAAATTACCTTTGAACTAGGAATGTTGAAAATATATAAAGAATGAGTCTGGTGTAATTTCATGCATGAAGGGAAGTTGAAAATATAATTATTTTCATTTTGTAAAAGTTTTTCATCCTTTTTTAGATGGTATCTCAAGAGCGGGGGCAGCATTATTTAATGAAGCAAGAAATGCAGTATTTGGGAAAGTAGCTCAAAATTCCATCAGGAGGATCGCCAGGAACGTTTTCCTGCACCTTCACAACCTGGACTTGGCCTTCCATCTGAGCAGGCAAACAGGAGCTCTGTCAAAAACCATCGACAGAGGCACGAGGGGCATCAGCTTTGTCCTCAGTGCTTTAGTGTTCAATCTGGGACCTACAATGTTTGAAGTGGCTCTGGTCAGTGGGATTCTGGTGAGTGCTGTCTGTTCACTGCTGGAATTGTCTCATTTAGGGATAATACATTGATTTGCTCTTACCAAAGCCTACTGAGTGTTAATAATAATAGAATTTCAAAGGTGGTTGTGAAAGCAACTCCTGTAAAGGAGAACAATCCACCATTTCCAAATATTAATTCCTTTGAATCAACTTAATTTAAAATTATTTGCATGTATAACTCCTGTCTTCAGCCAGTGATATTTATGTGGATAAGCATTTTCCATGCTTTTCTTCAGAATTTGAAGGTTGGACTTGATGATCTCTGAGGTCTTTTCCAACCTATGATTCTATGAATTGTCGGAAAAATGAAATCAGAAAAGTAAACTATGCACACAAATGTCAAATATATCCAGGTAAAGAGGGAGGAAGCAGAATATAAATGTCCAGGAATGTTGTGGACTAGCATGTTGATGACAGAGAAGGGAGTGATTATTGGTTCTTTCCTGTCTTTTTTTTTTTTTCATCCAGAACTTCAAAGTGAAAATTAGCTTTTGGAAAATTGGCTTCTCCTTCTTGCTTAATAAGCTCCATTTTAATCTTTTCTTTTATAAAAACACATTTCCTGTGTTTGAAATCAGGATCTTTGGGTATTTCTGTGGTAAAATCGAAATCTTGATTACATGGCTCACGCTAAATTAAAACCAAGAACCTTGTTTTGTTTATCCACCCTTTTTAGAAGGACTTACTGGAGTCTGAATGTAACAACATCAGTTAAAAGGCCTGTTGCTGCTGGGTTACATTTTATAACCCTTGGAAGTTGCAGCTCCAGCTGGCTCTCAGCCAACTGCCACCCTGCGGGAATTTCTCAGGGCTGTTCTCTCCTGATGTGCTCGGAAGCAGAGAAGACGCTTCATAAGTTGTTTTGCAAGGCCATTCATTTCTTCTTCCCCAGTCTTCAGTTTTCTTTCAAAATCCACCCCAAAAGCACAGCAAGAAATACTTAATTGTGATAAAAGCACGAACATCAGCAGCATTTATGTTTTATAATGGCAAAAATAACTTTGCAGTGTTATTTACACCAGCTCTTGGTCATCACCTCCCATCTTTTTATCTAAATCCTTCTTGCTGCTTTCCTTTCGAGTTTATACCTTTGTTTAGCCTTAAGCTGTTCAGAGCAAGGATTGTGTTGGGAGGGACCATCAGCCTCAAAATCAGGATGGAGACAACAGTGGAGTTTGGAAAATTACTCTGACTTGGTGTTTTGCTTTTGTTTGCAACGTTGCAGTACTACAAATGCGGTGCCGAGTTCGCTTTGGTCACCCTGGGCACTCTGGGAGCCTACGCCGCGTTCACCATCGGGGTTACCCAGTGGAGGTAAGGCAGGCCCTGCCCTCTGTGCCCCCCAGGGGCTGGGGCTGAGCTCAGAGCTCAGAGCTCAGCCTGCACTGCTGAGCTCAGCCTGCACTGCTGACCGTGCCTCACGCACCCCGCCCTCCGCAGGACCAAGTTCCGCATAGAGATGAACAAGGCCGATAACGACGCTGGCAACGCTGCCATCGACTCGCTGCTCAACTATGAGACTGTGAAGGTGAGGCCAGGCTTTACTGCCAGGCTCTTTGTCATAAGATTCATCTTTCATGGGGCTACAGCTGTGGAGCAATAGCCTGTTTTCAAACATGATTCATTTGCGCTGCATGGCATCGACAGAGGAGCGCAGAGGTTTTAGTGGGGCTTGAAAGAATCTGTTTGCTAACAGAGAGTGAGGAGTTTCCTTCATGACTGAATCATTCTCACCATCAGTTTCTGCAAAACTTGGTCTTGAAGAGGATGTTTAGGTTGGATCTCAGGGAAAGGTTCTTCCCCCAGAGGGTGGTTGGCACTGAACAGGCTCCCCAGGGCAGTGGGCACAGCCCCAAGGCTGCCAGAGCTCCAGGAGTGTAGGGACAAGGCTCTCAGGGACAGGGTGGGATTGATGGAATGTCCTGGGCAGGGCCAGGGTTTGGATTGGATTGAAGTTGATCCTTCCAGCTCAGCCTATTCCATGATTCTTTTCTCTCTAGTTGTTAGATCTGTTGGAGAGCAGTTGTGTACCTGTGCCTGTAGCATGTTAATACTCTATTTTGTATAAACCTAAACAATCTCAACAGTCATGAGGCTGCCACATTTACCATTTTTGTGTATGTTGTAGTATTTCAATAATGAAAAATACGAAGCCCAACGGTATGATGAGTTCCTGAAGACCTATGAAAATGCCTCCCTGAAGACTACCTCCACTTTAGCTCTCCTCAACTTCGGACAGAGCGCTATATTCAGTGTTGGCTTAACAGCCATCATGGTGCTTGCCAGCCAGGGCATTGTTGCAGGTAACTCATCTGTCTGTAAGCTAAAGATGACTCTGCTTTACCTTGATTCATCCATAAGAGAGGAGTTAATTTTAACTAACCTATGGTTGATGTGAAAGTTTATTTTGAGTGGTTTTGCTTGGGAGCTTTTACTTAAGAGTTTTGCCTTTTTCTGCTTCTTGGAGTATTATTAATCCCATGATATATATGTATATATATATATAGCAATAACTAGTATGATTTCATCAAAAACATTTTAAAAGTTAAGCAGTTAGAGAAAGATCCCAAGAAAATATCACTTCAGCAAGTTTCTGCTGAAGGCTTGGGAAAGACACTTTTAAACCTACAAATACTTCTGTAAGACCCTTTGTTTTTCCCCTTCTTCCTTTTCCATGTTGGCAACACTCAGGACTTTTCCCCCAAGTGTATATATATGTACTCATGTGCTTGGTCTCCAGTAGTTTTATCACCAGTGTCCTTCACTTTCCTTAGATTAATCAGGGCACATTATTCAAACAATTGTTAGGGGTTTTTAATCTCCTGATTTACTACACAAAGTCTGCTTGTTTAGGAAGACAAAGTACAATTTAATTACAGCATTGGGGTGAGGCTCAGCTAAAGCAAGAGGGTTTTAGAGTAAAAATAATGATGTTTTAAACACTGTTAATGTCCAGAAGTGTTTGAAGGGCAGACATTTATACCATATGGTCTTTTTTGCATCTGCTTTTCCCTTTTTAAGAGATGCCAGGGCAGAGAAGGGTTACAGTGTGAACAGATCGGTCAGGAGGTGCAGTTCATGACTGTTCTTAGGAAAATTTACAATAGCTTTAAGCAGGATGGTAGGAAAATGGCTTTAAATCATCTTTTTGGGTCTGTTTCAGCTGAACTAACCTGGCACTTACCTTTAGCTGTGTGTCCTCCTGAGTTTTCCCTTGATCAGCCTGTTTGATGCTACGCTGCCCAGAGGTTCTCACTGTGGGTTTTAGCAGCTCTGTAGTATGATCATGACAAATTCCATCAGTCAGATTTGTCTGTAATTGCACTTAAGATTGTCTTTCCTGATTTGTGCTCTCATACATTAGCTGCTCCCCTTCTAACTTATTTAGGCCCCTTTAAGTTTCTCTCTGTGGAATTTCCAGCTGCACAATCTGATGTTTTATATGCTGCTTGCCTTATTTTCCAGTGCTATTTTATCTTCTTTTAAAGTGAAACCCACACAAACATTGCCATTCATTTCAGGCACCTTCCTGTATAAAACCTGATCTTATGGGAATGGGTTTTGTTTGCTGTTTAAACATACAGGTTTAGAAATGGGGTAAAAGAAACTAGAATTGATTGATTATTTTTTTTTAAATCTTTTGGTACTTCCTGACAAGACAACCCTTCAAGTCTCCTTATTCTCTCACATCCATTTTGTCTTAAGGCAGCCTTTCTGTTGGAGATCTAGTAATGGTGAATGGATTGCTGTTCCAGCTTTCTCTTCCCCTAAACTTCCTGGGAACAGTATACAGAGAGACAAGACAAGCACTTATAGATATGAATACCTTGTTTACACTTCTCAGTGTAGATACCAAAATTAAAGTAAGTAGTAGCTTATTTTCCTAAAATATCTGGGTATTTAATAGGGCTGTTTGTGGCAATGCCATCATTTCATCCCATTTTCTTACCTTCCAGGTTTAATTTCTATTCATGAATGAGTTGTTGGGTGTAAGGGTGCTGTTCTGCTCCTCTTTTAAGTGCAGTTACTGCAATAGCAGTTGAGTATTTTTCTTGCAGAGAAGCAGTTGTTGTTTCATGGAAGCTGTGTTTGTATTGAGATTTTTTTGTTTGTTTGTTTAAGTATTCATGCCTTGTGGTTGAAGTTTTATTGGTAATTAATGATGCAGAATTTATCACTGCAAAAGAAGTTGTGAGGCAGAGTGTTCACAGCAGAAATTTTTACCTGCTTTGGGGAAGAGGATGAGAGAACCAATGTCACTTGTGCAGCAAATGATAACTATTTTCCACATATCCATTGTGGCTGTTTGCCTTTTTCTGAGCTGGGAAATGGACTGTTGAACTATTGGAGATACTTTCTGGGCAGCAGGTAAAGTGGAACTCTTCTTTTAACAGGACAAAGAGCTGGCTCCCCCCCTGCAGATCACCCCCCAGACTGCTGCCATCGCCTTTGATAATGTGCATTTCGAGTACCTTGAGGGGCAGAAAGTCCTTTCTGGAGTGTCCTTTGAAGTCCCTGCAGGAAAGAAAGTGGCCATTGTAGGAGGTAGTGGGTCAGGGTGGGTAAATGGACTAAATATGCCAATCAATGCAGAATTTAGCCTCTTAAACACGGTGCTTCTTGTGTTTGCTTTTTATAATTTTTGTTTGTGACATCAATTCCAATTGGAGATTGTAAATGGCAAAGCAGAATGTAACATTAACTTCAGTTCTTTTCAATTCCAGGAAAAGCACAATTGTGAGGTTATTATTTCGCTTCTATGAACCTCAGAAAGGAAATATTTATGTTGCTGGACAGAACATCCAAGATGTCAGTTTGGAAAGTCTGAGAAAGGCAATTGGAGTTGTACCCCAGGTATTCCATGTTTCCTTCTCCCCAGTAGTCCATTGCAATAGTAATTTGCTGTGGTTCAGTGGAGGTCAATCCTAGTGCAGTGGTGTTGTCTTAATTCCGTTGAAAGTCACCATGCCTGTTGTTTTGGGTTTTTTTCCCAGGAAATATTATGTTTTTATGTGCATCATCATATAGATCCAATTTCTGAAATGTGCTTAAGCCTCCCCATGAGAAACTGCCTCCAGCTTTAAATTATTTAGCTTTATAGTTGATTACCACCCATAATGAGTTAGCAAAGTGGTGAAAGTATGCATGACATACATATTTAGGACACAAAATGTATTAATCCCATTTTTGGGAAATTTCCCCAAACACTTCTACATTCAGGCGTTGTAGAAAAAATATAAGCTGTTCAGTATTGATTTCTGTCACGGTTTGGGGACAGTTTTGTCACGGTTTCTTATTTGAAACGTTCTTCCCACGGCTGCAGGATGCCGTTCTCTTCCACAACACCATCTACTACAACCTGCTGTACGGCAACACCGGGGCCAGCCCCGAGGAGGTGTATGCAGTGGCCAGGCTGGCAGGGATCCACGATGCCATCCTCAGGATGCCCAATGGATACAACACCCAGGTCGGGGAGCGGGGCCTCAAACTCTCAGGTAGGATCTCAGACCCACCAGTTCTTGATATCCCTTTGGCTGCCTCCTCAGTCAGACTTGCTTTTAGCTTGTTTACCTTATGATATTGGAAAAGACCTTCAAGATCATTATCAAGTCCAGCCTTTGATTAAATCCCACCATGCCCACTAAATTGTAGTGCCAAGTGCCATGTCCACTCGTTTTTTGAACACTTCCAGGGGTGGTGACTCCACTGCTGCCCTGGGCAGCTGTGCCAGTGCTTAACCACTCTTTCAGTGAAGGTTTTCCTAATACCCAACCTGAACCTCCCCTGCTGCAACTTGAGCCCATTTCCTCTCCTCCTGTCCCTTGTTCCCTGGGAGCAGAGCCCGATTATTCCCTCGGCTCCCTCCTGTCAGGGAGCTGCAGAGCCGGAAGGTCCCCCCTGAGCCTCCTTTTCTCTGGGCTGAGCCCCCCCAGCTCCCTCAGCTGTTCCTGCTTTTCCAGCCCCTTCCCCAGCTCCATTCCCTTCTCTGGAAATGCTCCAGCTCCTCAATGTTCTCATAGTGAGGGGCCCAAAAAACATAACTCTAAAGGCTAAATATTAAATATGAAGATCCACAGTGTAAGGCAGCTGGAGTTTGCAAGGTATTTAAAGGAGTGTATTTTCAGGGGATACTGTTGAGTGAGAGGATGTGTAAGCATGGATATGCATCTGTGTCAAAATACTCTTTCTCATAATCTGGCTCATAATCCCCATAAAATGGGGGAACTTTCTCTGTGTGTGCTCTGGGCCCTGTTCATAGTGGAGGGCAGGAGCAGAGGGGGGTGCAGGGGGTGCAGCAGAGGCCCTGCTGGTTGCAGGGACAGCTCTGGGGGGTGTTTCTCTCTGTGCAGCTGCTGCAGTCAGGAGTCCTGGTCTCTGTAACAGCAGATCAGAGGTCACAGCCTGTCCCCAGAACAGAGTGCACGGCTGCTGAAGGGGAATTCAGGGAAGGGGACAAGGGAAAGCACAAACCTGGGTGAGGGAATAGAAAGATACAAAATAGGTACTGGTGGAATGTGATGCCTGTCTTCCCACACTAGTAATTTGTAGAAAGAGGATTTGACTGACAATAGATTTGAAATGTGTTGGTGTTTGTAAAAGCATAGAATGGTTTGTGTTGAAGGGGACCTTCTAAAACTCATCTTCACCCAAAGGGCTGGCACAGCTGCCCAGGGCAGTGGCAGAGTCCCCATGCCTGTGGGGATTTAGGAGTTGTGTGGATGTGGCACTGGGGATGAGGGTTAGTGGTGGCCTTGCAGTGCTGGAGGAATGGTTGGACTCACTGGGCTCAGAGGGCTTTTCCAACCTGAACAATTCCATGATTCTGTGTCCCATTCTAAATCTGGAGCATTGTGTGGGTATGTCAGAGTTCCCTTCTGACCTCAAGACTCCTGTAAAGGAGCCTGTCTGAAAATGGGTTGTGCCTTTACTTCATCCTTCATTTTGTGATGGTCATAAACATCCACCTGCCAGTGCTTCAACAAAAGGGTGTTTAGAAAGTGAAGGAAAGTGTGGAAATGTGTTCTTTTCCTGCTTTGTATTTAAGGAAAATAAGAGTATGTAAAATACTTAGGAGAAAGACAGTGGAATTCCTTGGGGACAGAAAAAATGCATAGAGTGGGTATTTGCCACTGAAATAGCAGCTTCAGTTTCTTGTTTGCAGCAATTAGATGAGCACTGGCAAATAACAGTGGTAACCAAGTGTCAGGAATGTGTGCAGTCAGGCTGCAGGAGTCCTGGGCTGGTGCTCTCAGGAGGGGTTTAGTTGTTCAGAGGATTGGAGATAGCAAATGAAAACCTTTGAGGTCCTTCAGTAGCTCTGTAAAAATATGACATCTGTTACTTGGAATCTCTAGTTTTCTGAATAGTAGAATGGCTCCCTAAATTCCTATAAAAGTTTAATTTCTATTCCTGTAAAGGATTCATTCCTGCATCTGGTTTGTTGTTCTTGGGGGGGGTTAAGTTGGTTGAGACTTCGTATCCTTCTGGTCTAAGGAAAGCACAAAGTCCTGATTTATGGCCTTTTTTTAAATAGTATTTTGTGGCAGAAACAGTGGGGGTGAAAGGCCTGTGAATTGAAGGGTGCCCTTTGAAATCCAGGTGTTTTATGTGCATGATGGAAAAGCAAGGTTTTAGTTGCAGTGAGATCTTTTCCAGTTTAGATGTTGAAGTAGCATTTAGTGCAGTTCTTGGTGGTCTCAGTGATTGATTCATTAACAGTAGAGAGTGAAAACCAAGTTGTTTTTGGGCTTTTCCAAGTAGAATCCATATCGGTGTTTTCTGATTGATTGGTGACAGGCAGAGCCAAACCCCTGCCTCTGTGAATGCAGATGTTCGTGTGCTGCTGTCCTGAGTGTGAATGGGGAAAGAGCATGAAATAAGGATGTGCTACAAATGTAAGGGGCTTTGTTCTTTTAGAATGACTTTCAAACATGGATATTGTCAAGCTGTGAGTTCTGAACATGCTGGAAAGGAGAGGGAGGAAGAGCACATTAAAATAGACTGAGTAAATTGTACAGTTCTAATTGCTCTGAGTTCTGCCAAAGACAGTCTAAAATGTGAACTGCAGCATTTCCATCAGCCTTTTAAATGGTTTATGAAAGCATGTTCTCTCCTGATAGGAATGGAACATTAACAAGGATAGAATGGTATTAAATGGAATGTTTTGAAGTCTTGAGTAAAACAAAGGAGGACAAGTGCACAAATGTGACGTGGATGCATCGCATACCAAATGTTTAGCAGATTTTAGGTTCTCAAATGCACCTGTTTTCCTGTCTGTAAAAGTTGCCCCGAGTTATTCTTGAGTAGATGTTGGCTGTAAGAATTTTGAAGGAAGGCAAACTAGTCTGAAAGTGGGTTACCCCAGAAACCACCAGGCTGTAGAGTGCAGACTGAAGGTGGTTTTCAGTACCATATTAACTGTGTTCTTGAATGACATTTACCACTGATGAGTGGAAAGTTGGATAAATATCAAGGAGAGAGACCTGAAAGACACAATGTGTGAGCAGGATGCATGAAATCCAGTGCAGCAGCATGGACAGAGCACTGGTTGTTTGGGAGAGAAAACGGGGTTTGAGTGTGCAGAGTTACTGGCTGGGGCAGAGCTCAGGTACAAAACAGTTCTGTCCTTTTCCAGAAGTATAAGCAATCTTGAATCACCAGGGAGCAGGAACTTTTGTGCTATCTTATGTAACATGGCAGACCTTTGTCAGCAGTAACTATGATGTCTGTTAAAAGAAAAAAAAAAAAAAAAAGAAAAAAAACCCCAAGAACCAACTCTCAAAAGTCATGTCTGCTGCTGAATTTACACTATCACAGTTCTAACTTCATTTTTTTTCTTTTTTCCCCTCTTCCCCTCATTCAGGTGGAGAAAAGCAAAGAGTTGCAATTGCTAGAGCAATGTTAAAGGATCCATATATTTTTCTCTATGATGAAGCCACATCATCTCTAGATTCAATTACAGAAGAGGTAAATTGGGATTAAAAAATTCTGAATTTTAAGTGGTGCAATGGTGTCTGATTCTGATACTTTTTCCTGTTCTTTTCCCCTCAGAAAGGATTCTGTTCTTTTTGCCAAACTGCTGTCAAGTGTTTTCTCAGTAGTATTAAGAGGTCCTGTGTCTGAGCCATTGTCCTAAAGACCAGAGCAGAGATGCTGAGTCTGTCTGCTGGGACACAGGGAGGGGTATCAGCTGGCTCTGGGATATTTCTTGGGCACTCTGGAAGGTCCCCTTCACCTTTACACATTCATCCCTTGAAACTGGTGCTAATACCTTAAAGTGTGAAGAAGCTTTCCAATCCACTTGAAAAGGTGTTTAGGTGACATGTAGCATCCATTAAAAATGTCTCCTGAATACTTGTGACATGATGCAGGACAGCAAACCTCTTGTTTCTGAGATGCAGATGCAGGTGTGACCTGCAGTGCTGGTGTTGGTTTGTGTTCATTCCCCAGGCAGGGCTGTGACATGGATGTCGTGACACTGTGACAGGAACTGCATCAAGGCTTCATAACATCTTTCTTTAAGCACAAACCCCTCAGCCCCAGCAGTAATTTCCCACACTAATGTCATCAAGGACTTGAGTTAAGCTGTGGCTGCGTTCACTTATGCAGATTATCGAGCGAATTTATTGACCTGTAATCACTACATTACTTTCATTTTCCAGGCACAAAGAAATCAGAGTATGAACTGTGTATCCATCTAGCACAGCCCTGGAATGTAGCACAGCTCCCTGGTGGAGCAGCAGTGTCCATAGCACAGTTCTGCAGAACAGCACGGGGACTCTCGCTCTTGTTTTGCTGCATCTGTTGCAAGAGTCGTAAGCAAAGCTGGAAGTTGCACAGCAGAAATGCAGCAAATGAAAGTGAGCCCCTTCCACAAGGCTGTGCCTGGGAATTGAAATGGTTTCTGACAAAAAAGGAAGGTTTTCAGGGAACTGAAGAGGACACGTCATTGTCGGTAGTGAGGGCACAAAGTCCCAGTCAGTGCTCCTTGCAGAGGAGTGTGGTTTGGGAAGGTGGCAGAGTGCTCACAAAGGGAGCACTGCATAGATAGATAACTCCCAGAATTGCTTTAACTTTATATTCTGTAGTGGCATGATATTGAGGAGGATTTTTTCCTTTAACTTTCATTAGAAAGTATTATTATGATGCTGAGGAGTTATTTTCAGATGCTTTTACTGCTCTTTGTCGCTTGTGTACCATGCTCCATGGGAAGGTTTTCCTGAAATCCAGTGACCCTTCTCTTCCTTTGTCCCTGGGGATAGCTATGTTTTTCTGTGAATACAAGCTTGTTTTTTTTGCAGTTTGAGGCTTTATCAGAACCACAGATATTTCATGCTTGGGACTCTCCTGTTTCCTTGGTAGATGCTTGTGGCTGTTTGTTATTATGAACCTGTAGCAGTACCGGAAGTGTTTCTCAAAACTTACTTACAGGAATTTGCATATTTCCAGCAGCATTTTATTTCTCCTCATCCCACCCAGGAGTGTGTAAGAGTTTGTGTGTTCCAATCTTGCAGAACATTCTCAAAGCCATGAGGGACATGGTGAAGCACCGGACATCGATTTTCATTGCTCACAGGTTGTCCACGGTGGTGGATGCGGACGAGATCATCGTGCTGGATCAGGTGAGGGATCCCCTGGGGCTGTGGGGCTTCCACAGCCTGTCAGTGTTGGCTTTAGGGACTCTCTGTGTCCAGTTTGAATTATCACACTCCGACCAACCTGCTGGAAGCTCTTCCTTTGGAAGTGAACCACGTTGGAAAGTTCCAACTCAAGCTTGGTTTTTTTATACGTTTCTCTTCACAAACTTGCACGTGAGACTCTCTCCTATCTTGTTACTTTTTTATGGCTCACTGTTTCATGGTTTTGATCTAATTTATTACATGCTCCTGTCAGACGAATTTACTAAAGTGTTCCCCCAATTTATGCTTCACTCTCGTTGCTCAGTGAGTGTCTGTTTTCCACATACATCCATTTTTTCATTTCAGTGGAAAGAGATAGGACAGCATGTTCTGTTTCCATACAGATAGAACTACTTCAGGATTGTTCAACCTAATTATGTTATAAATCTGAGCACCATTCTCTGTTGTACCTGTAGAAAAATGTGATTGTTCCCTTTCTCTTCTAAGAAAAAAACCAATAAATTTCAACATTTAATTTGCTAATACCACTATTGAGCTGTTACCTCGTGCTCAGTGTGTCCAAAGTCCGTTTTCTTCTCTATTACCCAGACCTGGCAAGAGATGTAAAATAAACAAATGTCCTCATGATAACTTCGTAATTACTCTTTTAACTGATAATGCTGAAAGTACAGTGCTCTAATCTGCTGATAATAGATGTTAAATTTATCTCTGCATTCATTTTTATCAGTTGCTATTTATATGCTTGTGATCATAGGTGTATTTAGTGACTTAAAATACACATCTAAAAGCAAATAAATTATTCCTACAGTACATTCAGTGGTTTCATGGGAAATTAGAACAAACTCTTATGAAATGGGGACATTCATGACTGTCTTTGCTACGCAAATCTCAGCTTTATATGAAGCTCAGAATGAAGTAGTGGAATAAATCACTTGCAGTGCTCCATGGAGTTTTTATTCAGTTCTGATCTGCTTTGTTTTTTCAGCTTTTGCTGAACAATCCTTTCCTAAGGTGTATCCTTTATCCAACTGCACGTTAAAGCACCTTGCAAGTGTTTTTGAACCTGTTACAAGGCGATCTGCAGCTTTTTGTTTTCGATGCAAGTTTTCACAGCTTACTAAGAGTGTGTTTTGTGTTAGAGTGTAACTGTTACATTAGAAATGAAAGCACAGCCTGGAACTGTAGAAGAGCTGGGGTGCTCCTTTCCTGAGGGATGCTGGTGACACCGGGAATGGGGAGGGGGCTCCCAGGGCAGCACCTCCTGCCATCCCAGCAGGACTGACCTGGAGCAGCCAGAGAAGGTGCATTTTGATGACTGGTCAAGAGTTATTAAAAAAAAAAAGCACCATAATTCAAAAGCCTGGCCTCTACTACAAGAGCTCCACATTAACCCCTTGAAGGTTTTAAGTAAATGCCTCAGTTCTGTTGATCAAATTTTTCTGTTCAGATTCCACCAGCATAACTTCTGATAGAAGTGCCAAGACCCACGTTTTTTCCCAGCATATCCATCAGCAGCTGTCACAAGGAGGTAGATTTAATTGTAGATCAGAATTTAGAATAACATCAAATCCACATGGTTGTCTGTATAATTCTATCCTTTACCAGAAGAAAGAGTAGCTGGAGAATAAAATACATTAGTTTGGTTTGAAGTCAGTGAATGTGTCTCTCAAAGTGAAAAGATCAGTCTGGTTTTTTGAAGAGTGGTGGTGCTTCTCTGTCTGTAGGGTTGGAGTTCCCTTGAGCTGTCCTTTCCAGCTGTCCCTTCCCATTTCCACAGTGATAGTCAATAAATCATCTTTCCCTTGAGAACAGCCCAGATGAAGTGAACTGCTGAGGCCGTTGTCAGGGTGGCCCTTGCAGGGACACAGGCTACAGAGCTCCCATAAAAGCACAGTTTACACTAATTGTTTGCAGGATTTGATTTTAAATGTGCTTTGCTTGTCTAATACTCTTTGCTCTTTTTTTTAGCCTCTTCCTGTGTATTTGTTACTGAGCAAAATCAAAACAGGTGTTTGTTTTGGTACACTCGGGTGGCTTTTGCACCTTGCTCCTCATATAGAGATCCATGTTTACTTTAAGTAGCTCTTCCATTTTAGATAGTAAAAGTTTCCATGCTGGTGGGCTTTACATTTTGCCCAGATGGACAAGAGGTACATGGATTCCCATTTCTCCAAGTCCAGGAGGAGCACAGCTCCATGTTTTCCGTGTGGTACGCTGAGTGAACTGTGCTGGTCATTCCACGCTGTCCCAAGCTCCTCCTCATTAACAACTGCTCTAATCTGTACTGTGCAGTTGTGCTCCCTGTGTTGGCACGTTCCTAAAGATCTGGTGATGTGGATTCCTGAGCTGCTCCTTGTTTTGCAGGGGAAGGTGGTGGAACGGGGCACTCATACGGAGCTCCTGGCGAGTCCCGGCAATCTGTACTCTGAGATGTGGCACACGCAGAGCAGCAAAGTGCTCCACAGCCACAACCACCCCAGCTGGCAGCAGAGGAATCACCAGACATCCAAAGAGGAGGAGAGGAAGAAGCTGGAAGAAGAAATTCTGAATAGTGTGAAAGGCTGCGGGAACTGTTCGTGCTGAGAACGATCCTGGATCAGTCGCGTATGGCAGGTTAAAAATGCACAAGAATGCAGTGAAATGCAGCTCTTGTTTTTAAGTCAGCATTCAAAAACTTCTGGGGTTTGCAGTTTTGGGGTTTTACAGTTTCACAGAGGGACATAATTTCAACCAAAGGAGTTCTATTTTTGCATCTTTAGAAACCTGTAATATTCAGTGGCATCTGCAAGAGCTGGGCTTTTCGAAAACTTTAAACTTCCCAACTAAGAGTGTAATTTATGGCAATTTTTAGGTATTGGTAAATTCTCCTGGTAGTCACTTGATGTGGACTATTAAATTGTAAACAGATTTGCCCTTGATTTACATTATTTCTCATCATTAATGGTTGATAGATATGACATATTTTAATTGTAATTGGGCTAATTTGAACTCATTTGCTAGTGAGGAAGATGCCATTTAAATTCTTCAGTGGTGTTCTGGTTTAAAATGTTCTTCCTCATAAAGAATAAGAAAAGCCTCAACAAAATATTAGAGGCTTCTAGTAGCAAACTAAATATTGAAATTATCCATCTCACCCTTCAGAAGCACCTTTTGTACTGCACTATCAGGAAATAAATTGGTATCATTCTAAAGGAAAACTAATAGTATTTTTAAGTGAAAAATGAAAAAAAAATCTGAGTTTCGGATTCTGTATCCTCAGCATCTGCTGTGGCAGTCGAGGCAGAATGCAGTCGCTCTTTCTAGTTCAGTCACGGTCTTAGGGAGCAATTAAGATTCAATAAAGACTTCCATAAATTTCTATTATCTCATTAATGTATGAGAAAATGACCTGGATAACGCTGAAAGCATTGCTATAATAATCTCCTCATTTCAACAGCCCAAACTTCTCCAGTGGCAGGAAAGCTCAGTGTCTGGGATCTGCAGGACACTGGGGGGTGTTGGGTTTGGGGAGGGGGCTTCTGTGAGGAGGTGCCAGAAGGTTCCCCTGTGTCTGGCAGAGCCCATCCCAGATGGCTCCAGGATGGACCCACTGCTGGCCAAGGCTGAGCCCACCAGCAATGGGACAATGTCTTTGGGAAGGGAGGGAAAAGCTTGTGATTGTGAGAGCAACTGCAGCTGGAGAGAGGAGTGGGATATGTGAGAGCAACAGCCCTGCGGACACCAGGCTGGGGGAGCGTGAGCTCCAGGCACTGCAGCAGAGATCCACCTGCAGCCCATGGAGGAGAGGACCCCACACTGGAGCAGAAGGATTTGCCCAGGCCAGGCTGTGACCTCCTGGGAAGCCCGTGCTGGAGCAGGACGTGGGATCCCATGGAAGACACACTCTGGAGCAGCCTGTGCCTGAAGGACTGACCCATGGAAAGCAGGCACGTGGGAAGGACACGCTGGAGTGCAGGGGAGGAGAGTGAGGAGGAAGGAGCAGCAGAGCCAACGTGCTGAACTGACCACAGCCTCCATTCCCTGTCCCCTGTGCCACCTGCAGGGAGGTGGAGAATTTAGGAGCGAAGCTGAGCCCAGGGAGAAGGGAGGGATGGGAGGAAGGTGTTTCAAGATTTGGTCTCGTTTTCTCATCACCCTACTCAGACTTCTAATTGGCAGTCAATTAAATGAGTTTCCCTGAGATGAGTGTTTTGCCCATGACGGTAATTGCTGGGTGATCTCTCCCTGTCCTTAACTCAGGAGCCTTTCCAAATGTTTTCCCTCCCTGCCCAGCTGAGGAGGGCAGGGATGGAGTGGGTTTGGTGGGCACCCAGTGTGCTGCCAGGGCCAGCCCACCACAACACCACTGTGTTTTCAGGCCTTGTCTCTTCAGGGAGACCATCTCTATTTAGCCCAAGCTATTCTGTGTAATTCTTCATGTTGAATTCAAGAATTAAAATCTTTCTCTTGGATGTTGAAAAATAACTGTTATTTCTGGGGAATTACACCAGTATAATTACATTGATGTAATTACATTTGTAAATCAGATGCAAGGTTTCTCACTGTGGGCACTGGGGAAGGGCTGAATTTGGTGCTTCTGGAAATTTAATTGCAAATAGCATTTATTTTTTTGTGTTATACCCTCCCCTGCAACTAAATATAGGAACAGTAACTTAAAAGGAGTGAAACCTTTGCTAGTTATTAATTTTCTCTCTTCTAAAATGATGGGTGAAAAAAACCCCAACTTGGCATCAATCTGCAGTTATAAATTATTTTAAAAAGTGTGCTTTAATTTTCAACCTCGGAGTGCAGAAGCAAAGTGAAGTCCTGTTAATGTAGTGGCAGTGCAGAATTCCAGCTTACAGCCTTCCCTTTATTTTCCCTAATGGTCTCCTGGTTTTGCTGACAGCAGTGAGGGGACTGTAAAGGTGCAATTATGTTCCAGCTGCCAGAAACAGCAAAAGTTTATTGAAACTACCCTGCAAGAGCTCATTTTTGGAATTAACTTATCTGTCTGCTCTTCATGGAGCAGGGAACAGGCAAAGGCTGTAAATAGGAATATTTCGAGCCTAAGATCTTTTTCCTTTGGTACAAGGACTAAAAATGTCTCTGGTCTGAAAGGTGGAGGAATGGGGTTTTGTCAGTGAACAGTTTTCCCTGTTGCAGGGCCTGGACATCCCAGCAGGGCCCTACAGAACACTCAGGATCAGGAATTGTCTGGGAGATGTTTGGAACCAGAAGCTGTTTTAATGCCAAGTTGGATTGTGTTTGTGAGGGGCCGATTTCAGATGAAAGCTGATGGATTTTACCACTGGGAACGGGCTTGTGTTGGGCACTACAGGTCTGCAGTGAGGACTGTTTTCCACTGGGAAGTGCCAGGAGGGATCAATATTTGTTGAAATCTGTAGGGGTTTGATGCAGCTCGAGGCCATTACCTGGCTCTGCCACCCTTTGGGTGCCAGTGGATGTGCTGCAGCTCTGTCCAGCTCTAAGCAAACAGAATGACAGGAGGCAACTCTGAACCAAGGCATTTCCTAAAACAAGAGGCTGCTCCTCCAGTAGGACACGTTGCTTAAAGAACTGCAGCGACTTTCTGGAGGTGACTGAAAACTTCCTGTGTTGTGGAGCTGCTGGATGAGCATTCCTGGCTGGGTGGTGGCTCTGCTGGAGTGAATTGCTGTGGAGAAGCAGAAACAACACTCGGTGAGTCTCCTGTCTGCTACAAAGTCAAACTTGTGCTTTTTTCTTTTTTTTTCTTTTATTTTGAATTTTTATTCCTGCACTGTGACTCCAAAGTGTCACCATGGAAGCAGATGTTTAAAACACTGAATGGGAGAGCCATGGCTTTGGAGGGACTCACTGCAGCACACTGACCCTTGGGACAGTCTACGTGGCATCTCTCGGAAAAGCCTTACGGCTCTCAGAGAAAACAGATTGATTTTGGAGCTCCCTCCCAGCCTCTGTGGACCTTGGTAATTCTGCTCCACTGTAAACTGGAACATCGTTTTCCAAACAGCAGCTTTTCATATGCTGGACTTGTAGTTGGTTGTTTTTCAAATTTCAAGTCATCTACTCCCATTATAAGGTCTTTGTCTGCAGTTTTAGTGTAGAAAAGCCATATAATTTCTTTTTCTTCATTTTCTGTTGTTAAAGGAAATGTGTTTGTGGAAAATGGACATTAAAAAGGGGCTGCTTCTTGCAGTGTGTAGTGATCTGTTAACTGTGAACTTACAGAGTTCAATTCTAATTTCCATGTAAGAACTTACTTGGCACAGGATATGAAGCCACAACAAACAACATCTTGGCTATTTGAACCTCCAAGTTAGAAAACCTAATGAATGATTTGTGGGGAGGTTGTTGTGCTTTTTCCAAATGGATCTTCACAATTCACTCCTTGCAGGTGATCCCTCAGGTTATCTCAGCTGTTCTGTTCCAGGGAGCATTAGCTACCTACATCTCAACACTGAGACTTTAAATGGTGTTTGAGTTTCTTTTCAGAATGGAAGTGTATAATTTACATTGTACAGGAAGGTGACAGAGCAAGACAGAAAGCTCAGCTGAGATCAGACTGTGTAACCCTTCTGCTGGAAGACTCCTTACCCTGACTCCTGACCTTCATCTGTGTGTAGATAATTCTTACTAAATAAAGGATTTATCTTTGTGAATAGAAATGGGTGTCCTGTCACAATGGCTCTGCAGCTTTGCTGCAATTCCCAGAGGAAACAGTCACTCACTGCTATGGAATGTGGGTCTTAGTACCAGCAGCTGTTTGTGGTGCTGGTGGTGCCAGGGGGGCTGGTAAACACTCACAGAGGGGGAGAAGGTGACTGAATTCCACCTGATCCACCAGAAAGGTAAGTTCACAGAGTGCACCTGAGTTCTGCTCCCACTCAGCTTTTCCATCCCCTGCTCTGTGTGTGTGGAGCTGCAGGAACAGGGGAAGGGCTCGTGTTCCTGCATCACACTGATGGGAGTGAACGTGATTGGGAGAAGCTTGACTGTTTCTTACTTTCAACACTGTATTTTTATAAACATAAACTCCTGTGATCAGTAGAAATAGAGCAGTTCTAACAATCTGCTTGAGCCCTTGACATGACATTGGCTGTAATCACTGCTTGGGTTTCTGCTGTAAGCAGCTGAAACTCAAAGCAGAAAGCAAGAAATGCTGCTGTTATTATTAACTATTTACATGTAATAATGATCATTCTTCTAGTGCACTGCACTGTATTAGATTTGAGCTACAACAGCCACAGGTCCTGCTGGCATCATGTACGGGGGATGGATGGGTGGATGGATGTGAGATCCTTGAGCAGCCTGGGCTTTCTCAGAGTCTGGCTGGATGAACTCTCAGCTGTTGTCTCAAAGAGTTCATTTGCTCTGTCTGTAAGTCTTGTAGTGATACTGCAGGAGTGCTCCATAAATGTTACCTTTTTTTTAGTTTTTCACAGGACAGGAGGGTTGGTGGCACTGGATGCTTCCTGACAGCACACTGAGGAGTTGGTTGTGATTCTGGGAAGGAGCCAGGGCATTCTTTTAAAACAATAATTGCATGGTTTTTAAAGTGTTGTGGCATGGCAGTGCTGCAGTGTATAGGTGTTTTCTTAGTGGTGGTAAATTGTAGTTAATGTATTAATGTCTAGAACAGATATTGTAGAATGCAGCTACTTCTTGACTTTAATGTATAAATTTGATGTCTTTATAAGAAAATCCTTAAATGGTTAGTCCTTGAAAAATATCTTATTTAATTCCTGCCATGTGACGTTTGATCTGTTTCTGCAGATGTTGGGACTAAACTCGGGAAAAGCCATGAACTTTGTCCATCTTGGAAAACCAGCAGAAAGCCTGAGAGAGGACTTCTCCAGAGGCAGGTGTGCAGGCTGGGGTGTGGGATCTCCCTCAGATGAGAAGTGGCAGTTGGATTAAGTTGCACAGTGCATTAATGGAAAGAAAAAGAGCAAAAATGCTTTTACTGGTATATTGAAAACAGGATCCCCAAAGCTGGAAGGATCCTGAAACATTTCTGCTCCCCCACAATAATTTCCAGTTTTTAATGCTTCGTAGCCCTTTACAGAATTGTCAAGTAAAGCATTTAAGTCACACAGGTGTAAACTTGTAAAGCTCCCAGTCTTGTGCTGGAGAGGGAAAGGAAAAAAGTTTTTCCCCTCCATTATGGAGTGGAAGAAAGAGCTTGAGCTGGATACATCAGGTGGTTTGGTGTCCTTTGAGTGCTCTGCAAGTGTCAGCTGAAGATTTTAGTGCCTTGTGCACACACCAGCAAATATTTAGAAAAGTGGAGGTTGAACAGATGAAAAGTTCCCATTTTACACTCGTCAGACAAAATGGAACGTGCAGGTCAGTCTGTAACTGGGAGGGGATGTT